TCGGCATCAGGTTCGACCCACAGCTGTCCTTCCTTTCCTGTCATCCATCTCTGACCAGGACCACCTTCCTCCACTTTCGCCACATTACCCACCTCTGACTACCTTACCCCAGACGCAGCTAAAATACTGGTCCACGTATTCGTTACCTCCTGCATCGACTATTCAAATGCTGTATTTGCTGGTCTCCCCAGCTCCACCAAGCACAGGATCCAGCTGGTCCAAAACTCCACCGCCCACATTCTCACCCGTACTAAACTCCGCGCCCCCATCACACCCATCTTAGCAAAGCTCCACTGGCTTCCTGTCGCCTGATGGATCATTTCAAGATTGTCACGCTTGTTTCAAATCCCTTGTACCTTGCTGTCTCTCCGACCTGCTTATTCCCCAACCCATAACCCGCTAGCTCTGCCTGACTGGCTCCGGCCTTCTACATGTCCCTCATGCCCTCCGTTCGACCAGCGAGGGCGCATAGTGGCTGAAAGCACAGGGCGAAACCTTGGGCAAGTTTCCTTATTCCACACGCCTGATAATAATCTTTCAAAAAAAAATTGGTCACTTCAATCTACAACTGTTTGTAGGAAACTGCTATGCGTAATTGGCTGCCGTGTTTTGCCCACAAATCTACAGTCAATTCATTTTACAGTCTATTCTGTGAAGAGCTTTGAGACGTCTAGAAGTCGTGAAAAAGTAGTATATTCAATGCAAGAATTATTATCATTATAGGTGGCTGCGCTTTCAGCCACTACACACCCAAACTCTGGAACACTCTTCCTCTATCCCTCCGCCTTGCTCCTTCCTTCTCCATCTTCAAGTTGCGCCTGAAGACCTTCCTCTTCGACCATGCTTACGGTCACCTCCCCCCGACTCGGCATCATGCTCTGCCACTGTCAAACGCTCTGGGACGCTGCCCTGCATGAGGGGCGCTACATAAATGTATGTTGTTGTTGAATCATGGGAACTGTAGTCTTGACTACAATTTGTCTTGTAGTCACTTACTGGCTGCATTGAATTATACATGCACATTGTAGATTGTTGATTAAATTGGATTTTAATCCCCCATCACACCAGTCCTTGCTATGCTCCACTGTCTCCCAATTACCGCACAAATTGATTTCAAGATCCTCTCACTCGTTTTCAAATCCTTTCATGCCTTGGCACCTCCCTAGCTGTCCAATTTGCTTACCCCCCACTCCCCTTCTTGCTGCCTCTGTTCGGCTGGCTTCGGCTTCCTGTTCGATCCCTCGTTCCCTCCGCTCCACCATCAGTACCTGTGCCTTCAGCCACTATGCCTGAAACTCTGGAACTCTCTCACTCGATCCCTCCCCCTTGCCCCCTCCCTCCCTACTTTCAAATCCAGCTTAAGACCTTTCTTTTTGATCGGTCACCTCCCCCCTCTCCGCCTAGCTTGAGGTCAGACTCTGCAACTGTCAAGCACTCCGGGATGCTACCCTGAGTGAAGGGTGCTATATAAATGCAAGTTGTTGTTGTTTACTGTATGTTCTTTTGTACAACAGCGCCTGATTGTCAAATACTGTAGCGTCACATTATAATCAGTATAGCTTGAAATGAAATAAGAGTATTTGCATTGCTACAATTTGATTATTCTGACTTGAGCTATGATATATTTGCCACAGATGTCGTAAAGTGCAGTGTAGATTTAAATGTCTGTTTCTCTCTTTTACCTCCATCAAGTCCCACCTACCCCCACACACACATATCTGGTTTATGATATAGATTTTACATCCTGATAATCCCCTGTAGCAAACTAAATGGTTTGCTAGAAACTAAAATGGTATATATCCCTCCCAAGTAAACTTTTTCACGGTGATGACTTTAATTACCATGTTAAAAGTTACTTTGCCATATTCTGCACATTTCAGAAATTGTACCAGTTTCATGGGCTTGTGAAAAAACATCTGCGTTTCCCATCAGGCTAAGCAGCTGGCCAGATGCTTGAAAATAGCACAGAAGATCATGCATTTCCCACCTGAGATCGGCTGTTAAACCTGCATGGTAAAAGTTTAATGTAGGGAAAATCACACTGACTTACATTTCCATATTGTAAATATTGCACCAAAAAGCTAAATTATTGTCATAGGCTTTAAATGGAAATAATTTGCTTTGGAAATTAGGAGAATGTTTTTCTCTCAAGTCAAAATGCCTGAAAAATGTGTTACTTATACAGACCGGCTAGATTTACGATTTGTTTTCAAATTTGGGTTATCACATACATTACTGGATTACCCCAGTCCTTGCCAGACTGCACTGGCTGCCTATCCCAGAGAGGATCGATTTCAAGATCCTCTCTCTTGTATTCAAGTCCCTGCACTCCTCTGCAACCCCTACCTCTCTGACCTCCTCAACCCTCAAAACAGTACCCGTTGCCTTCGTTCCTCCGGGTCTGGCCTCCTCCTCGTCCCCCGAATCCTCCGCTCCACCCTCGGTGGCCGTGCCTTCAGCCACTACGCCCCGAGGCTCTGGAACTCCCTTCCTCACTCCCTTCTCCTCGCTCCCTCCCTTCCTATTTTCATGTCTCTGCTGAAGAACTTTCTTTTCGACCGCGCCTTTGGTCACCTTCCCCCCCCCCTCCCCCTGGCTCGGTCCCGTGATCCGTTTGCTGTGAAGCGCTCTGAGACGCCGTCCGGCGTGGAGGGCGCTATATAAATCCAAGTTGTTGTGCTCGCTTTTTAAAATGTTTATTTTTGCTTAAATAAACTCAAAACTGCAAGAACAATAATAAAATTAATAATTAATAACCATAGCTATAAGGTTGTATTGCAGGATATATTTTTCTTTGATAACATGGGGGAGATTTAAAAGATGTTTACTGACACAACAACCTTCAATGTCTCCCTGAGTGGATTATTCCAAATATTCACTGCTCTGGGTTAAATAATTCTGAACTTTCTGTTCGTTTGCAAGGATTAAAATTATTTTTACTTTTTCTGAGTGTGAGTCTTTGTCCCCTTGTAGATTTGTTTTGACTCTATTGATCATCTAGATTTTATTTAGATTAGTTAATGTCTAATCTTGAAGATTTTGAACACTCCAATAAGGTCTTTCCTGAGTCTTTTCTTTCGTGTGCATATTCTGTAGCCTGTCCTCATTCAGTTATCAATTTAGTATTTGTTTGTTGTATCCTTTCCATTGCTAAGATTCCTTTACTGCAATATAGCTACCAGAATTGTAAGCAGTACTTCAGGTGAGGTTGAACCTGAGTCATTGTATCAATTACAGTGACTTGTGCTCTATGGTGTTAGCAATACACCTCCAAAATCTTGTTTGCTTTCTTTACTTCTGGCAAAGCACAGAGCGCTTAACAGTTGTGGAGCCCAAGGCTGAGCCAGGGGGAGGGGGAAAGTGACCATGTGGTTTCAGTGATTTTTCTAACAGAACCCCAAATCATTCTCCTATATCTTGTCCTACAGATTAATACATTTATGGTTTATTCACCCTGCCTATTCTCCTTCCCCAATCTCATTACTCTGCATTTAACCATAATAAATGATATTTTCTGTCAAAATCACCTATAGTTGCTCAGCCTATTCCTAGTTATTTGCACTTCCCCAGTTTGGTGTCATCAGCAAATTTATTTGACTTGGTATCTCTCCACACTTCCAAACAATCTTTTGCAGAACAGAAAGAAGATGGCAATAGGTCCTTGCACTTACATAGCACCCTCCATGTCGGGCGGCGTCTCAGAGCGCTTAACAGTTGTGGAGCCCAAGGCTGAGCCAGGGGGAGGGGGAAAGTGACCATAGGTGCGGCTGAAAAGGAAGGTCTTCAGGCGTGACCTGAAGATGGGGAAGGAGGGGGCGAGGCACAGCTGCCAATGGTGGAGCGGAGGATTCGGGGGATGCGGAGGAGGCTGAACCTTGCTGCTAGAATTCCTTGTGTTCTTTACATCACAAGTTTTTTTTTAAACAAGTTTCTTTTCGCAATTCAATATACAGCAGGAATAGAGTATAAATGGAGAGATGCAGATAATAATAACATTGCACTTGAATGGGTATGGCATCACATTAAGATGATCCCACACCCATTAAGGTGAAAATTGTAAGATGTAAAGAAAGGTAATTATAAAAATAATAATCATTGCATTTGATATAGCGCCTTATCACATCTTCGAGATGTTTCAAAGCGCTTCACAGAATGTACTCTTTTGTGGGCGAAACGCGGCAGCCAGTTGCACACAACAGTGTCCCACAAACAGTCGTGGATTGAATGACCAAATTATTACTATTTTTTTAAGGAATTATTACCCCAGGAAAAGTGATCTGCCAATCGACTAGCAACCGGGTTCCTACTTACTGCTAGGTAAACAGAGCGTGTGGAGTAAGGAAACTTGCCCACGTTTCACCCTGCTGGGAATTGAACTCAGGACTCTTGCTTGCGAGGCGAGTGCTCTAAGCACTGAGCTACGGGACCTCCCCTTGACTTGGTTGGGTCTTAGTTTGCATTGGAGTTGTTGCAGGAATGTTCAGTTTTAGTGCTGGTTCCCATTTTTTTCATTTAAGTTGATATTTCAGAAACCATGAGTCAAATTTCGACCAGCAACTTTAGTGGTGGCCTGTAGCCCAAATATTACTGCAAAGTTGGGAGCCTGGTGAATCCTCAATCAATAATTATTGGCTGGCACAATGGCAATTTTGACAGTAATTCTTGAATTTGCACTCTGTTTTTACCTTTGGTTCTTATTCACAATGTAGCACATTTAAAACTAAACAGCATCGTATTTTCAATTGCTCCCTTTTAGTTTCTCTTTCAAATTTTCTTTCTTTCGCCTCTCCTTTACCTGTTGGCTTGTAAATTACCAATGCTGCCAATTATGGTCTTTATTCCACTGACTCCAAGCGCCTTCTAGGCCTTTGCCATCATAGAAGAGTGGAAAAATGTCTAGTTCTTTTGAAGACCAATTTATTGTAATAACATTATAATAGTCTATGCTGGTTATTGTGAATATGGGGCATCATTCCAAATAAATATATTTTTTTATTCAGGTCGAGACTTAATGTGCATTCAATCTATGGATGGGATGCTCATTTTCTTTGAACAAGAAAGCTATTCTTTTGGTCGTTACTTGCCTGGTTTCCTCTTGCCCGGCCCATTGAAATACAGCTCCAGGTCTGACTCTTTCATTACAGTCTCCTCAAGTCGACAAGTTGAAAACTATAAGTGAGTTCAATATTTTTCTTGGCTTTCAAGTTATGTGTATTAAAAGAAAAAGATCCAGTAATGCAGTTAATCCTGAAAGGAATTTTATTTCTATTTTGAAGCACAGTCAAAAAATGTGAGATTAATGTTTACATTTAGAAAACAGTATTGATTAAGAAACTCAACATTTTCTTTGTGTGTAGCTGTTGAGGTTTTGGGTGGTGTAATTGCACACTGACATATGCTATTGAAATAAGTGACCATAATTGATATGCTTTTCTTTGGGAATAAGTATAAATTACTACATCCATGAACAATTAATTATTTTATGAATAGCGTTATTACATGTGCTGCCTAATTTGTACTCTGGTCACGGAGGTGGAGGTATTTTTTTCTTCAGCTGCATGTCACTTATAATTTTTGTGGCAAAAAGAAAGCAGTGAATTTTCATGAACACAGTGCTCACATTGTTTCAAATTATTCAAATGCCATATCCTCAGTATTCACTGTTCCTCTGTTTAATTTTGTTTCCCTATATCTGAAAAGAAAATAGAACATTTCTGATGGTTCGCAAAGCATGTCTATTCATTAAAAATATATTGGTAAATGTTTTATTTTTTCACTCGATTCTCTGGCTGAGAGGGTCAGTAGTATGTAGTTGCCTAACAATGCCATTCCTAAAGGGCTACAATGTTATATTGTGGGGAACATGTAAGTGGGTAACCCCTTATTCAGATAACTGATTTCACATGTTGCACTGCGTTAAGTCAGTCCAGAATAGTATTTCTACTATTATCAAAGCAACATGACCAGGCAAAGGATTTCCAAGTAAACAACTGTGCACTGGTTTTTGAGAAGTCCAACTGGTTCAGAAATGTGATCATTTTGGATAAATGGTATTCCGATGCATTGATTCTCACTCTATGAGAGCAGGTTGGGATGATTGACTACATAGTCAGGAATGTACAGGACCAGAGAAAAGACCATTTTCTTCTAGCCAGGCCAAACTTTTTTTTAAATAAAAAAGCTGCACAATTCAGTGTGGATTCTATGGCAAAATGCAGCCTTTGGGAGCCAACATAACCAAGATTGGAACCTTCCTTGAAGGGAATTGCAGACAAGAACCTTGTATTGATGTATGCCATGAAATGGAACATCAGTTGCATTAATGGCACCACCTATACCTATTATAAATGTCCTGTTCTTGGCCAGTGATGTGACTGCTTGTAATATTATAGTTGAATAATATCATTATAAAATAAATAATTTTTGCATTTGACATAGCTCCTGGCCATATTGTCAAAATGTCATTAAATAAACTCGAAGTGCTTCACAGGATTTTTACTGTGAAGTGTAATGACTGTTCTCAAATATTTGGGAGTACAAAGGTATAAGTTATAAAACCTGACCACATGAGAGGGGAAGCAAAGGAGATGAGAGCAGCAGAGAGGAATAGATGAAGAGAGAGTAAGATAGATGCTTGAAAAAGAGGACTATGGAAGCATGTGAAGAGCAAGGCATCTTATGTGGAGTCCTGTAGCTCAGTGGTTAGAGCACTCGCTTTGCAAGCGAGAGACCTGAGTTCAATTCCAGGCAGAGGGCGAAACCTTGGGCAAGTTTCCTTACTCCACACAGAGCCTAATAATAATCCCTCCAAAAAAACAACACAATAATAAATTGGTCATTTTCAATCCATGACTGTTTGTGGGACATTGCTGTGCGCAATTGGCTGCCGCGTTCGCCCACAAATATACAGTCAATTCACTTTACAGTATATTCTGTGAAGCGCTTTGGGACGTCTAGAAGACGTGAAAAGCGCTATATCAAATGCAAGAATTATTATATTACTTTATATAATGTCATAAAGCAGGACTGCCATTTGAAAATACTTTGTAATATTTCTATTTGCAGATTGCCTGCATTGTGATCTGATTTTCATGGCATTTAGCTGATGCATATTAATGCAGTATGGTTTAGTTGGAAGCACACTCTCTTCTGGGATAGAAGGTCACAAGTTCAAGCCAGATATCGGGGCTTTCAATTCATGTAGCCTGGGCTGAAACTCCCAAATTGTTTTGGGAGTATGCTGCATTATAAGAGGAGCTGTCCTTCAGATTAGATGATAAAAACTGAGAACTTGGCTGTCTGTTCAGGTGGATGTTAAAGATCCCATAACACTATTTAAAAAAGGAAGGGAGTTTCTTTTGGTAATCGCACTTGAAGACCTTCGTCTTTGTCCGTGCCTACATTCACCTCCCTACTCTCGCTAGTTTGGAGTCAAGCTTTTCCATTGTAAAGCGCTCCGAGATGATACCCACATGAAGAGCACTATATATATAAATGCAAGTTATTGTTGTTGGTGGTAATGGTATCTTGGCCCAATATCCCCTGAATAAAATTGGTCATTCACTTCATGGCTGTTACTAAACTTTGCAGTATTATCCTGTGAAGCGCTTTGAAATATCTTCCTGATAGAAAAGTGTTATATCAAATGCGTGGAGTGTCTATTTATTAATTTATAATGTGTATGAAACCTAGTGTACATTGGAGCAAGCTTACGCTTGCTAATAAATTCAGGAAGTTCTCACATCTGTCAAGGATCTCACCATATGTGTTCAGGAAACTAAAAATCAAAAGATATAGTTTAATCTGTTTCTTATGTTTTAAGCCATTGAAAGATTAGGCAATAAAATTGGTTGAACCAGAATGTTTCACAGCTGCTATTAATTCAATCCATATTGTGTTTTTAGATGCAATTGACTGTGACTTCCTTTTCATTTCTTTTTACCATTGTCAGTGTTGCAGCAAACAATTAATACTGTATATTTAAATACAGCAATATTTAAGCAAGAACAAGCATTGTATAACTAGAAATGTATAAATCAAAGAAACACGATTTACACAGAATTTACACATACACCTGTGCCATCTGTGTCTTTCCACTCCCTCAGTTCTATTCAGTTCCATTAATCCACCGTTAATGCATTAAGAGGATTGGAAGCTGCATCTGCAACACAATTCCAAGCAAATCTATAACAGCTTTGAAAGCTAAAGCTCTAAATCTTGTCACCAGATCACTGTTTGATGTTTCAAACCACAATATCCGTGAATATCCTCTTTTCTTTCTGTTCAGTTTTCCATTCAATCTGGTATTGGAAGCTCACTGTCATTATTGCAAACCACACATTGCGTCTAGGAAATCCTTAACTTGGTTATTCTCCCCAACAAGTGCAGTATGTTCTGTGAATTTGACTTTTGTATGTAATTAAGATTTTGTGAAGATTGGCTGCCAAGAGTTGGACAATGCCAACTTCATAGTTTAAAAAAACACAAGAACTTTTTTTGAACAATATACGATAACTAACAATATGCAGTTCAACAACTAATTCACATTGTGAACTCTGAAATTTTCATATAAGTGAAGTAGAGGTTCTAAGTAGGATCAATGGCTAGAAATGATTAAATCCACTGGAACACATGAATCATACTCCAGGATACTTGGAGAGATGAGGCAAGCACTGATATCCATTTTGAGGGAATTCATGAACACAGGAGAGGTTCTGATAGACTGGAAAAAGTAACTGTGATTACCCCATTCAATAAAGGTGACTGAGTCTTATCTATACAGCCCCATTATTATGACCTCAATGATACATCAATAAAATTAATGGATACAAAAATCCAAAGGAAATTGAGAGATTGGCTGTATTAAAATAGCCTCAGAAATGATTGGCAAAATAACTTGTCGAATGAGGAATGTAAGTGCAGGGAAACGCAACACTTTAACTTACATTTTGGTATTCCATTCTAAGTGCATGTCATTGAATGTGTGCTTGACCCACTGTCATGTGCACATTCCTCCCTTCCTGTCCCCCAGCATCAAACAGTGCTGGATTAGATAATAATAATAATAATAATAATAATCCTTGCATTTGATATAGCGCTTTTCACGTCAGGAGGACGTCCCAAAGCGCTTCACAGAACACACTGTAAAGTGAATTGACTGTATATTTGTGGGCGAACGCGGCAGCCAATTGCGCACAGCAATGTCCCACAAACAGTCGTAGATTGAAAATGACCAATTTAATTATTGTTTTTGGTTTTGGAGGGATTATTATTAGGCGTGTGGAGTAAGGAAACTTGCCCAAGGTTTCGCCCTGCCTGGAAACAGCACAATTAGACACAGAACAAAACTCCTTCTGAAGAACAATACAGTTAAGCCAAATTGTAAAGAAATTCTTCGGGTATCTGACAGATACCTGAGCAATGAAATGGTAGCTGAACAGAAAAGAGAAGTGTAGGAAGTCCAAGGATAATCTGCAAAACATTCTAGAGCAGAATCTCCTGGGAGCTGACATCAACTGAGCTGATTTCAAAGGGAAATCAGAAAAGATTTCAAGGGGAAAAGACTTCAAGGAGAGATAAGCGGGGACTCAGAGGAGACTAAAATGGCCAATGTCCTGGTTATTGTGTCCCAGCTGATATTTCCTAACTTGCACATGCGCAGCAAAACAGGAGTTGACATCAGCAGCTACTTAATGACCAGGAAGTTGGTTACTTTACTGCAGAAATTGGTTGGCAGCTGAGAAGGGAGCAAACAAGCTAGCATACGCAATGAATGGGGTCCACAGTATGCTATTACACTGTGTAGAGCTCCGAGACACTATGCTGTGTTAAGGGCGCTATATAAATGCAGGTTGTCATTCTTGAATTTGATGCTATAAAGAAGTGTATTACAATGAGGCTGCACTGTAATTGCAAAGTTGTGTGAGCTATACCTAATAGACAGGATTGTATTTTATTTAAAACAAATGTTTTCTCTGACATCAGGTACCAAGTGCTAGCTGTTGCCACAGATGCCGAAACAAAACAAAATTCTGAACAGCAGAAACTTGGGTCTGGGAAGAAACTAACGGTAAGGACAATTGTATTGAATAGGAACTGGACATCATGCCCTCACTTCATCTTGAACCTCGACCTAAAATCAGAGAGACAAATCCAGATCCTGAAATGTTCTGCCATCTACTTAAACTGCAGTATTATCTTTTATTTGTTATCGATGGTGTATTTCAGGAAAAAACGATTGCAAGAAAGTTAGCAAATTGTAACTGCAAGCTCATAGAATCAGAGAAAATTTCCAGCGCAGAAGGAAGCAATTTTGTCTGTCCTGCTGCTAACTCCCCCACTTGAGCTATCTGCACTGATCCCAATCCTATGATCTTTCCCTGCTCTTATGGGCTCAACTTCAGTCAATTGTAGTATAGGATTCCATAATCTAGCACATTATTCATGAAGGAAGTTTACATCAGTGCACTTTTATGCTTAGAGCACAGGAAGTAACATTTGCTGATGTTACACAAAATACACGGTAATAATCCACCTTAGAGTAAATCCTGTGAAGCCCTTTGAGCCATTCTCCCAATGTGAAAAGTGTATTATCAAATACAAGTTTAATTTTGCCTGTCTTCGAATTCAATTGGATTCACTACTTCCCATATTCCTAATCTATCTTATATCCTCCGACAGTCTTTTCTATTCCTCTGTTTGGAAGAATTTATACATCGTGATATATTTTCATTACGTGTTCTTTTCTGCAAATTTGTTTCGGGGTTTGATACCAATCCCCAGATCTTGTGCAAGTGACTGGCCAGTGCCTTGGGAGGTTCTCCCAACGTGAAAGGTACTATATAAATGCAATTTGTTGTGTTGTTGCTTCTGTTTACATCACTCCTAATCTGTCTATATCTTCTAACCTGCGTGATTTTGCTTAACATTTTGCCATGCCTTCTTACTTATTATCATCTGCAGATTTTGATATGTTTCTTCATATGACCACATTCCAATCAATTATGTACCCAGAAGGGATCTCAGCATTTCATTTATTCATCTTGTGGAGCGATAGAATCCAATCCCCTAACAATAATATGAAAATACTTGTAACAAATTTCATTGAAATCTTGTAGCTTTTTAAAATGTGGAATGCAGCCCTTCAGTTACTCATGGTGTTTGTAGCTACTTCCTTTTGCCTATCTATTTCTTCAGATGAATATCAATTTCACATCCAAGACCATAACACCAACATGTTTGAAGCCTTTTAAGACAGATTTCTAAATTCTGTAGTTTACGTGCCAAACTCCCTTCTCTGATAACTAATCAGACTTTACAGATCTTTAAGAGGAAACTGGAGTGATTCAGTGCTTGGTTCAAAGACAATGTATGTGAACAGTCTTGATTGCTGAATGAAAATCTTCAAAATGTTCCAGTTCCAGACATTGGTCCCTTTTTCCCACAATCAATTGTGGGAGATTTGGTTGGTGCATGTTCAAACCAATCAGTTTGTCCCACAATACTGTAGATTAACTTATTCAGTTTATGTTTAGTGTTTTTTAATCAAATTCTGTTTCAAATAAATCTCCTATTAATTACGCTTATCAATGTTTTCATAATTCTTGTTACGCAAGACTTCGCAAAAGTTTTGTCTTTGTTTCTTGTGTTTGTTGCGTCTAGAAGCTCTCAACATTTTTCTCTTATTTTGTAATGCTGATTCCTGTTACTTTGAGATGTTGCCAAATTTTTAGATACTAATTTGTTGATGTACCTTTGCTTTGTTAGCAAATACTTTGGGAAGCAAACGCCTTAGATCCTTTTTCTTGGTTTACTATTTTCTCAAATTGTATGTTATGTCAACATTGTATCTCATGGATAGCCAAGATTAAGACTCTCCTGATGTATGTATGGATGCTGTGGACATGCTGATAGAATTCGATCTTAGTTTCACCTTGTATAATCGGAGGCGGATCCAAGGGTGGGTGCTGAAAGAGGCCCGGGACCCCTCACCCCCCCAAGTTTGAAGTATTTATGTATTAATTTAAGCTGTGTTTCTCAAGCATAAAACTTTTGTGAGTTGCTTGATCTTTGATCATGTTTAAAGATCAGTAGAAGCACAGGAATAAAGTTCCAATACCTGCCTTTAATGTCCGCAATTATATTTGAATCGTGGACTTTGCTCACTGTCTGTAATAACACTGGTATCACCAGCATCTTTATAGACACGGCAAACTCAAAAAAATATATATTTTAAATTTCCTCTCTTTATCTTTCAGTGCCTCAGTCTGTCCCAGTCAGTGAGTGACAGGGATAGACAGGCTCTGATGGACACAGAGAGGCACGGAATGTTTTTTTTAAATTTAATTTCCCACTGTCTTTATGCCAGTGGTTACTAACATTATTAGAGACAGTGGGAAATTAAAAAATATCAAACAGACATTAAAAAAAAACCTACATAGGAACAAAAGATAATTAAGCAATTCGTAAAATGCAGTTTGAGTATATTTTAGGTGTATAGTTTGCCCTTTTCATTACTCAAGATTTGGTTTCTAATGTATAGGGTATATTGGTAGCCCATTAGATCCATTGAGCCAACTTCATCATATATTAGTATATGGTAGCTCATTATCTTACTAATCCTATTTTTCCTTTTTGTCATTACTATACTTTGAAACATATTTTGGCTGACTGCATGGGATAAGGGTTTGAAACTGCTGATTTGGATAGTTTGTTTCCTTAAACAAATTGTTATTATTGCAATGGTTTCTACTTTCTTAGCCACAATGTCTTCACTGATTTCCAAACAGAGCTTCACATGTGATAAATGAAAGATACGTGTACAATTGCAATTTGTATCCACCACTACTTCTAAATCATTTTTGGTGGTGAAAGCAGGTAGAGTGTGGTCCATGGTTTAGAGTGGTCCAAACATGTTGATGTTCTTAACAACAACAACTTGCACTTATGTAGCCCCCTCACGCAGTGTAGCGTCCCAGAGTGCTTGACAGTGGCGGAGCACGACTCTGAGCCGGGGGGAGATGTGACCGTAGGCATGGTCGAATGGGAAGATCTTCAGGCACATCCTGAATATGGGGAAGGAAGTGGCAAGGCGGATAGATAGAGGTAGAGTGTTCCAGAGTTTCAGGGCGTAGTGGCTGAAAGCTCCACCACCTATGGTGGAATGGAGAGCACGAGAGACATGCAGAAGGCCGTACCCAGTCAAGTGGAGGCAGCCGGCTGTGGGTCGGGGGGTAAGCAGGTCGGAGAGGTAGAGTGGTGCCAGGGCATGAAGGATTTGAAAACGAGTGTGAGGATCTTGAAATCGACCAGTTCAGTGACGGGGAACCAGTGGAGTTTTCTCTAGAACTGGTGTGGTGGGGGTACGGAGTTTAATACGGGTGAATATGCGGGCGGTGGAGTCCAGTCGGCAGGTAACAAATGCATGGATGAGTGTTTTGGCTGTGACTGGAGTAAGGTACGGTCGGAGGCAGGCAATGTGATATAGGTGGAGATATTCTTAATGTTTATTGATGAGGAAGAGTGCTCAATGAGATAATATTGAAATAATTGAGCTGTAACGTGAAATTCTGGTTGAAGTGGGATGGATTGATATGCCATTGAGCAGTGTACATATAGCATGTGAGAGAAAGTCTCTTGCAATTTCATGGCATTTAAGTTGAAGTGATAGAGTATGGTTTACTCTGTTTAGAATACTGACTTTGGAGGTTAAATCTATGGTCATGTGGGAATAACCTTTATTTGGAAAACAGGGAAGTATCCCTCACATATATTTTATTTATTTTCTGATAAATTTATCTACAACTTGATCAGCATCTATATTCATATCATAATGAACGTGCATCAAAGTAAGTTTGGTCATTCTTTCTTCACTCATTACATTTCTCAAATATGTTTTGACTCTCCTATATGCAGAGTGAGATCTTTAGGATTCACAACTAGTAACTGGCAAAACATATCCAATTGATGTTTTTCAGAGTTTCTCTCTCTCGGTCATTTTAACTTTCTTTCCTTGATCCATTGCTGCATTCTCAGGTCAGGTATTGGGTCAAACCAGATTAATTGCTGTAATTCAGTGTAGTGCCACCCTGTGGTAAGAAGCCGATACTAACATGAAGCACAGTAGACTGGATCTACAGCTCCATTGAGTGTTATCATGGCAGAAAATGTTGTTGTGAAAGTGCAGAGGTTCATGTCCGTATTTTATTTATAAATGTAATTTCCATGTGATGTCATATTTTGTTTTGTTTTCAGAAAGACTGGATAGTGAACATTGGTGAACAAGCGTTGGACATATGCATAGTATCATTTATGCAGGCTGCTTCCTCTATATTTGTACTCGGAGAGAGAAACCTTTTTTGTTTTAAAGAAAATGGACAACTTCGTTTTATGAAAAAAATGGAGTATAGCCCTAGTTGCTTCTTACCATACGGTTCAGGTATGTAAGTTTCAAAGCTGAAACTTTAAATTAATACTTAGGTGCTCTGCTAATCCCTTATTTCTACAATTCTATACAAATAGAAAGTGTTGTTGTTTAACTAATCATTGATGAACAATGAAGCACTTTCAGTTGTTTTCCTTGGTCACACTTCACAGCACTGAACCTGTGCCCTCATGTCCTGCTGCCTGTGGGTATCTGGAAGTATTATTCTGGGTTTACGTTCTCAATGTAATTTAGTAACTTTTGTACCCCTAAAAGATGTCTCTTTGCAAAGCTGGAGAGCTCCACTCATTTAGTTTTTACTCGTAGCTCATCCCGTCTTTACTTATAGTTTGATGCTTTAAAACTAGGGATTATCCCCGTTGCTCTCCTCTCTAGTCTGGATTCCCCCTTGTTTTGTGGTGACCAGAACTATATTCAATACTCCAGGTGTGGCCTGACCAGAGCACAGTGCAGTGCTGGTAATCTGAACTTGAACTGATTTGGCAATATAGCTTAGTATCCTGTTTTCCTTATTCATTGCTGCTTTGCACCATTTTGACACGGTGAGCAGTGAATCAATGAACACACCTAGTCTTTTAGTTTTCCTCTTTGGCAATTGTATCATAAGATCACGAGGACACAAGATTAGTTTGGGTCAAGAAAGCCCTTTGGCCCATCTGATCACATCCCTCCAGAATACCTACCCAACCATCCTCCCATTACAGCATCAAGTTTTTTTTTAAATGAGTCCAGTGTCCTAACCTCAACCCCCCTTCCTGGCAACCTGTTCCAGTCATTAACCTCTTACTAAAGAGGAATTTCCTGGTATCTGTCCTGAAACTGAAATACAACTCTAAACCTATATCCTCTTAGTCTGTCTTCATGCATCATAAAGTACTATTCTGTCCTCAGAGTATGTGTGCCTCTGTTTTTACTTATGGAGTCATGTGGAGGACTGGAGTCCTGTAGCTTAGTGGTTAGAGCAGTCGCCTCTCAAGCAAGAGACCTGGGTTCGATTCCTGGCAGGGTGAAATGTTGGGCAAGTTTCCGTACTCCACACACCTGATAATAATCCCTCAAGAAAAAAATAAATAAATTGGTCGCTTCAATCCAAGACTGTTTGTGGGACAATTCCTTGCGCAATTGGTTGCCGCGTTTCGCCCACAAACATACAGTCAATTCACTTTACAGTATATTCTGTGAAGTGCTTTAAGACGTCTAGATGGTGTGAAAAAGCGCTATATCAAATGCAAGGATTATTATTATTATAATAAATTGATCACTCAATCCACAACTGTTTGTGGGACACTGCTGTGCACAATTGGTTGCCACATTTCGCCCTCAAAATATACAGTCAGTTGACTTTACAATATATTCTGTGAAGCACTTTGAGTGATAAGACACGATATCAAATGCAAGGACTATTGTTATTATTGTTTCCTGCGTGCAGTACCTTACATTTATCTGTATTGAACATTTGCCAGTCATGAGCTCATGTGTTAACCCTGCAAAGTTCTATTTCTAAGTTCTTTGCTCTCCACTCAGATTTCACAGTTTACCATACCTTGGTGTTATCTGCTCCACATTTACGTATTATCTTGCACTGAGTCTGTGAATCCAGGTTAATAATGTAAACAAGGAACAAAAGGGGCCCCGGTATGGAGTAAGGGCCCTTGAAGTACCCCAAATCTATTCATTTATATGTGAAAGCTGTGTTTACAGACATGCTGCATTTGAATACATAAAATCTGTGGATCTTCAGGTCTGTATGTCATCCATTAGCCATTCTGGAATCTTGGGTTACAGAAAGTTGACGACTCTCTTTTAGAAGCCGCAGGTCCTACTGACTGGGATTGTAACGCAAACATGAAATATCTTATAATTTGTCTTAATTGAGAAACACAATATTAATTTTTATGTAGTTTTTAAGTAAGTTGTTACTACTTACAGTGAATGATAAGCCTAGCTTTTACAGATATGAAATTCTGCTTTGCATTTATTTCATTGGGGAATAAATAAATTGATTTATTTTATTGTTTCTGTTACAGTTTCGGAAGGAACAATAAACACTCTCATTGGAAACCATAATAACATGCTGCTAATATACCAAGATGTTACTCTGAAATGGGCTGCACAGCTTTCACACATTTCTGTGGCTGTTAGAGTTGCCAACTTCCAGTGAGTAGCCCAATGTTGAATCCGATGCCGTGCAGAATCATGGCTTTTATGCCTTTTATGTGAGTTTACTTAGTGCCTTCGTGCAGATGCGTTGCTCATTTTAATTTCACTGTGGTGGTAATGGCCCAAATATTTTACTGAAATAATTTTTTATTAAAAAAGAACTTTTTCAAATCAGTTATGTGTTTTACCCTGCAAAAGAGGATCATTGCAAATGCAGATATAACTACAGAAAAGATGTAACATTTTTCTAATGTTTAAAGAATGGTTTTGCCTAAATTAATTTAGGTATGCTTGTATAAATCATTAGTCAGACCAGTTCAATTTTGCATTCAGTTTTTCTCCCCCAATGCGACAGTGTCCCACAAACTAGGTTGTTGGGTGTGGAATGCCCTGCCAGGGGTGGTGGTTGAGGCAGGATACATATTAATGTTCAAGAGGAAACTAGATAGATATCTTAAAAAGAAGTAATTTGCAGGGTTTTGGGGAAAACAAAGGTTAATGGGAATGAATGGATTTTTTTTCAAAAAGCCAGTACAGACATACGGTATTCTTCTGTGCTGTAAAGTTTATGGTAGTTGTCTTATGTAACAGATATTTAATCTAGATATTTGACATAAAGATACAACTTAGATTTGAGTTTTGAGAAATAACCATATTGCAGTTCTAATATACATTAATAAATGGTATCTAATCAGCACAATATAATAGTAATTACCTAACAAGAGAAAACTATGAAGTCCAAGTCGTACAGGATATTTTTGAATTTTCAAAATAAGTGGTGACACTGGAACTGTTACTCTGATTTTTTTCCTCTTGTACTATATGCCCTGTTACAACAATTATATTTTCAATTGAGAAAAAAATATTTTTATTTCAACTTCAAGATTCTATATGAAGCATTCTGTTTCAGAAATGCTTTCCGCTTTTAGTCAGCTTTGTTCAGTAACTGCATAAGTGCACAGAATTATCATGTATTCATTTCGCATTTTTAGAAGGATTGCCTATTATCAACAAGAATATGTGGCCAATTCTAGCCATTTAGAAATTGTTAACCTGCATTTTTAAAAAGAACTCTGTATATCTGAATACTCAGAAATCCAAATATCATGCTACATTGGATACCAATCATTATTGCTCTTCATAGTTCAATTGATTCTTTTCTAATTAATTTGTTTTACACACAATATTGCTTACACATTCAAGAGTAGATCTGTCATCAATAGTTATATGAGATTTTCATTGTCTGCTCTTTCTGATATGCAGTCTTCCAGAAAGTTACTTCAGAAATGTGCGATGCGTTTTACAAACTGCTTTGGACTGAAGAGGGCATTCCTAAATTCACACTATTCAGTTATCCAGTTTAGTACTTTCTGTTGAAAATGTAGTGAGATGGATTAAAAAAAACAGGTAGTATGTCTTACAGCTTTACTTTGACCTAGTGTGTGCATCGCTGTTGTTTCTGTCAAGGAGCTGGTTGGGTAATACTTGATGCCATTTGAGATGACGTTTTTTGGAAATGTTCAACGATATCAACACAAACAGAAAATGTCTTTTATCATGGTGCAGGAGGGTAGGTTAAATGATCTGACGTTGTTTGAAGTCTGCTAGCTTTCTTTTATTTTTTATCAGACAATCTCTCCACTCTCACTGCTTTTAATGCAAGCAAACCTTTTTAGCCACCAATCTCCCAAGCCGACAGTGATGATAAGATGAAATTTGATGCTCCAGTATTTTTTTCCTCCTGCTAGATAAAATAGCTTTGTCTTTTTGTAGTCAAAGAAGCTTGTCAAGTTGAATGAATGAATATTTTTATAGTGAAAATAATTACTTTAAGCCTTTAGATTCTGTGGAGTTAGTTAGCTGCTGATGCATGAATAACAGTGGTTATTGTGAAAGCAGTTTAACTGGTTGTAAACCAATTTAAGATTGTTCAATGTAAGTAATAGAAATTTAAAAATATTCAAGAAATGTTATAGTTGTATCTGGATGATAATTGCAGTGCTTTATTTTTTAACTCACCTCGGGATATTGCTCATCTTTGAGAAAGTAGTGGTGTGCCTTCTGTTTAAACTGCTGCAGTGTTTGTGGTGATGGTGCTCTCACAATGATGTTGGATAGGGAGTTACAGGATTCTGGCCCAATGATGATGAAGGAATGGTGGTATCATGGGAATTCACCACCTTGAAGTTTCCCTCCAAGTTACTAAATCAGGGTGGTTGTAACTTAATAATAATATTAATCCTTGCATTTGATACAGTGCCTCATCACGTCTTCCAGACATCTCAAAAGACTTCACAGAATATACTGTAAAGGGAATTGACTGTATGTTTTGTGGGCAAAATGTGGCAGACAATTACACAAAGCAGTGTCCCACAAAGAGTCATGGATTAAGCGACCAAAGTATCATTTATTTATTTATTTATTTACTTTGAAAGAAACTTCAAGGTGGTGAGTTGCATGATATCTTATCCTCCTGGATGATAGAGGTCATGCAGCTGGAAGTGCTGTCTTCCACTCCCAAGTCCTACCGATGAACCAGTCTGCTGGTCTGCTATCATCAGTGCCTAGAGTTTTATAGACCCACATGGCTCAGGAACTGGATTACCAAGACCACCATAGAGAGCCGACTTGATTCCAACATTCCATTGCGAAGCCTGTCACCTTGGAGCCAGTTCAGCTCCAAGGTGATGCACTTGGCATAGTCCGTGCCAGAGGCTCGGTACATCATGCTGCTGGTTAAGGGAGTCCACCTAAGACCTGTGGTATAAGCAAGGCAAAGCCCTATCGAAGGGCACTATAATTTGTTTTCCTTGACAAAGTGACTTCAGTGGGGCTTTCTGTAAAAGCACAAAATCAAAATCAACACATAGAATTTGACAACAACCTGGTAGTTGGACAAATTTTAAGTGTGGGAAGCTTAATCTGTACAGGAGGCTGGGGGTATAATGCTTCTGGTTAGGGTAGGCAAGGCAACCCTATATCAAAGGGCACTATAATGGGTTTTCCTGTATTTGTCGAAGAAGCAGCAACTCATCATTCAAGATTAACTGGTGAGTGCAAATATGTGTAGGAAGAGAAGCTGTGCTTATCTGCTGCAGATCAAGAAATACGTTCAAAATGTTGCCGAAAACCTGAATCACTATCAATGTGTTTGGAAAAGCACCATGTTTAAATGGTGACAGCAAAATGTGCACATCAGGTTCAAGCACCATTCGTGCTGCCATCTCTTTATGGGAAGTCATCATAACCAACTTTGAAAATTGGTGCAGTGCTGCAAAGAGACATTGTAAAATGTAATTCAGTAACTGAATCTGCTTGAGAGTACTAACTATACCATTCTCTTTCCAATGCAGGGATTTGAAGTGTGTAGTGGTCACTTTAAGTGACAGTGGCCATTTACAATGCTCATATTTGGGGACAGATCCTTCGCTATTTCAGGCTCCAAAAGTTGAATCGAGGGAATTAAATTATGAAGAGATGGATGGAGAACTGAAGGAATTGCAGAGAGTTATCAGGGAAGCTATAAAATCACAAGGTACCCAATGACTTGTGTGGTATAAGGGTCAATTTTGTAGTACCTTTTGATATTCATCACTTTAAATGGACCTGCATGTGATGGAGGTGGATCCCTCATTCCTAATGCAGTTTTCAAAGACTACAGGGGGTGGTTGCTGAATGGAGGTGGTTGTTTGAACAGTTTTGACTGTATATAAATGTAATGTTGCTATTGTTGCAGAAAATGATCTTGTATTTGAGAAGATATTTGCACATTGTTTAGTTCTATTTTCTCATTTTCTTCCAGGTATTTTGCCTCAGATTAAAGAAGATGATTTGAACGTGACCATTCTGGTCTCCCCCAACCTGGATGAAATTCCTGTACGTGAGATTCAATAACTAACTAAGGCATTTTATAAAAAGTAGGAAATGTAACTGGTAATGTGATTGGAGAAATAAAGAGAAAAATTATAAAATGAACAAAACACAAAATACTGCAGATCCTGGAAATCTGAAACAAAAACAGAGAGAACTGGGAAAACTCAGCAGGTCAGGCAGCACCTATGGAGAAAGAAAAGTGAGTCAATGTATCGGGTCCACGACCCTTCATCAGAACAGACCCAGTTCCGATAAAGGGTCGGGGACTCGAAACGTTGACTCACTTTCCTTTCTCCAAAGATGCTGCCTGACCTGCTGAGTTTTCCCAGCTCTCTCTGTTTTTATTATAAAATGAATATGGGTTTGCAGTCGAAGTACTAAACTGTTATTTCCCACACATGACATAACACACTATGTGTTTGGACATCTGTTGTAGACAATGGAAATAGTTCAGCAGCCAGAAGAGACTGAAACCACGTACTGTTTGATAATTAAAATAAAAATATCCCAACTATCTATTTCAATTCAATAGTTCTCATTAAATCAACCAAAACTAAATCTAAAAAACTAAAGAGTTTGTCTTTGAAATTCATAGTCATAAAAGACTAGGTATTTAGTGAGAAAAGATGCAATAGGCAGGGTGAAACCTTGGACAAGTTTCCTTACTCCACACGCCTGATGATAATCCCTCAAAAAAAACAATAATAAATTGGTCATTTCAATCCATGACTGTTTGTGGGACGCTGCTGGGCTCAATTGGCTGCCACATTTCGCCCACAAATATACAGTAAATTCACTTTACAGTCTATTCTGTGAAGCGCTTTGAGATGTCCAGAAAACGTGAAAAGTGCTATATCAAATGCAAGGATTATTATAATATCACAGCAAAAAGTTATCATTTAACAGTAAAATAGAGAGAGACTCATAGGTTGGCCAGGAACTGCAACAAAAGTTTATGGAACCAGATAATGCTAACCTAGAATGCAACCTAACGTTAACTGAAAGGTGTGCTTTGACTGAATAATATCAAACTTGATGTATAAAACTATAAAGTTCAGAAAGAACTTACAATTTTGTACCTCCTTATGTTGTCAAAATGTTTTGAAGTAATTCAGGCATGGTGTTGTTTGCAGGTAAATGTGGCAGCCAATTGCAACAGCAATGTCCCACAAACAATTTGACCAATTAATCTGAAGAATTAGTGGCTAGGACACCAGGAGAAACTCCCTTCTTATTGGAATAGTGTCATGGATTATTTAACGTCCCCTGAACAGGAAGGCAGGTCCTCAGTTTAACAACTCGTCTGAAACAACAACAACAACAAGATTACATTTGTATAGCGCCTTTCACGTCGGGAGGACGTCCCAGGGCTCTGGACATTTCAGACCCGAGCTGGGGTCGGGGGGGTTGGGGGAGGGAGAGGAGGGGAAAGGGGGTGGCCGATGGCATGGTCGAAGAGGAGGCTCTTGAGGCGTGACTTGAAGGAGACTAAGGAGGGAGTGAGGCGGAGTGATTGGGGGATGGAATTCCAGAGGTTGGGGGCAGAGTGGCTGAAGGCTCTCCCGCCAATGGTGGGGCGGGTGGGTCGGGGGTCGTGGAGCAGGCCAGAGCCGGCTGAGGGGAGGGAACGGGCGGGTTGGTAGGGGTTTAGGAGGTCACAGAGGTAGGGTGGGGTGAGGCCATGGAGGGCTTCTTTGTATGTGAGGACCAGGATCTTGAACTGGATCCTCTGAAGGATAGGGAGTCAATGGAGTCGGGCGAGAGTGGGAGAGATGGGGTCACAGAGTTTGGTGCGGGAGAGGACACGGGGTTGCAGAGTTCTGGATTATCTGCAGCCTGTGGAGGGAGGAGTTGGGAAGGCCGACAAGCAGGGCGTTTGGATAGTAGAGCCTGGAGGTGATGAAGGCATGAACAAGAGTTTCAGGGACCTGAGGGGTGAGGTAGTAGCAGAGTCGGGTGATGTTACGGAGGTGAGAGAAGGCAGAGTGGGTCATGGCTTGAATGTGGGGGAGAAAAGACAGTTGAGGGTCAAACAAGACACCGAGGATCCTGACTGGTTTGGTGAGTTGAAGTGTGCAACCATGGAGGTTGATGTTGCCAGAGCCTGAGGTGCTGAGGCGCTGGCCCGAGCCAATCAGGAGGGCCTCAGTCTTGTTCACATTCAACTGTAGGAAATTTGCCCTCATCCAGGTAGAACCTCTAACAAAGCAGTGCTCTCACAGTACTGTACAATAGTATGACTATTAGCTGAAATTCCGATGTGAGGCTTGAATCCACAACCTTCCATCCTTTAGGCAGAAGTGATACCAACTGAGGCCAAGCTAATGTTCATACAGTGATTAATACTTTTGTGAGTTTACTATAACGGACAACTAAAAGTTGTTGTGGCTACTGCAAATGGTTGTTTCTATAAATACTGTACTTTGCATTCTTTACAGCAAACTACTGATAATGAGGTAGACACAACGATTCCTTCAAATGCAATAAAGGTATTTTTCATGCTTTAATTTTCAGTACTGTAACACTTCGAGAAAATATGAACATTTTAATGTTCTGTAAAATGACTGTAATAGATTTCACCGAATTGCTCTAATGCATAATTGTTTTGCAACTGTAGCACTAGCACAATCATAAACTTATTATCTACAACCAATTTTACTTTTTACATTTCTATTCAGTTGTTTTTTGGGCAATTTTAACCTTCAAATTTTCTTCCCTTTCCTTGAAAGCATTATTGGCTCCCTTTTCCTTCCACTAGCGCTGTTTCTACTCTGGTGACCTATCCCAACTTGCCATTGTTCATTCAAGCTGAGAGTTGTTGGCATTCTATTTGAAAGAACCGGAGAAAAATCACAACTAATCCCGTTCTGCCCTCACTCACTGTCCATATAAGGAGCTCCCAACAGGGGTCTCTGAATAGTGATCGCAACGGGAACCTGGGCTTGAGTTTTGAGGTAATTTGTAGCGACCCCCACCTACTTATTGTCTTCATCTGCCAAGCCATTGGGGAAACTTAGGTTTCTTATCAAATACACCAGGAAATACAAGTGTTGCAACTGTACAATATTCTATTTCTATTCTGATGTCAGTAAACAACGTTAACGCAGGGTAGTGTTCCCTGAGTGCTTATCCATGTGAAGTCCCTCACAGAAATCTTCTGTTCAACAGAAGGACAATCCATTGTTTAATTGGATATACTTCACATTCGAATGAAATGAGATCATAAATAATCAATAGCTAACAAAAATAGTTTTCATCAAAATGTTTTCACAAACTACTCCTGGCCATAGTACAAAACCTGACCAAGGCTGAAAACAGTAAGACTAGGTAAGACAAATGAAACGGTATGTAGACGTGAAGCATTCAATTCAAAAGCCTTTAGATTATAGGAAGAAGACTGACTTTAGGTAGAGTCCCAAGAATAGAAAGAGTAGAAGGTACTGCAACAAGTTTTGATTTTAACTTAATGATTTGGTGCAATATAAGAATTCTTTATAATATATTTTATTATATCTAATTTTTGCTCTTTATTAAGCCATTAAACCAATAAAATTTTGTCTTGTTTTTTACAGTCATATTCCACTTTCCTAAAATTTTGTTTCCCATTGCTTTGCTCCATTTTTGCTATCACTCCTTGTTTTGGCACCTTTGAAACACTTCACGTAGCAATGTCTAATTTTTCCACAGAGTGAATGATAATGTTTAACTCTAAAAGGAGTTATATTCTCTGCAAAAGGTGGAGAGCTCAGAATCAATTGAAATTTAGATATAGGTTGGACTGGTATAAATTTTAGGTTTCATTTAAGTTGCAAATAAAACACAAGTCACACTCATACATTGATATGAAGCCAAAGCTCAGCCACAAAATATACAGTCAGTTCACTTTACAATATATTCTGTGAAGCGCTGAGACGTCTTAACAACATAAGAAGGTGCTATATCAAATGCAAGGATTGTTGTTATTATTAAGGTGCTGGTTTTGTAAAGCTATTCTGTTTCTTTTAAAGAACAAGTTTAGCATCTGCTGTGAAATATGTTGCACCCCCTCCCACCCAGATTTCAGAGTACAGTGCTCAAAAGTAGATGAAATGCTCTGGATTTTGTACTTTTGAGTAATTGCATAAAATAACTCGTATTCCACAATGAAATATTCTTCTGTTGTAATTCATTTTTTTATTTTTAAAACTAGGTTACAATTTGGAGCAGACTTGCTGTTCAGAATGTGAAATTATCTGTATGTGTGCTGCCTCCACTAGCAGTAACACAAGACAAGTTCACGTTTGCTGAAGTGGGTAAGTATGTTTTCTGATGTAGACATCCTGGTAATCTTCTGTATGAAAGCACTTTGTTTTGGAAATCTACAAGTTTGTTTGATGTGTTTGAAAGATATGGAAATTACCGGAAAACATTCAAATAGTTGCTAGAGAGGAGAGTTTCATTGTATCATTGAATTGATTTGAAACCTATGGAGTGAAATTCCACTAAGTGGTAGATCGTGGAGTCCTGTAGTTTAGTGATTAGATCACTCGCCTCACAAGCAAGAGAATCTAGGTTCAATTCCTGGGCAAGGCAAAACATTGGTCAAATTTCCTTATTCCACACGCCTCTGTTTCTCTAGCAGTAGCCTGGTTGTTGGTTGGATCGCTTTTCTAGGGGCAATAATCCCTTAAAAGAAAATGATAATAATAATTTGGCACTCAATCCATGACAGTTTGTGGGACACTACTGTGCGCAATTGGCTGCCGTGCTTCGCTCACAAAATATACAGTCAATTCACTTTACAGTATATTATGTGAAGCTCTTTGAGACGTCTCGAAGATGTGATAAGGTGCTATATCAAGAAGGATTATTATTTTATCTCACTACCTCTTTTCTGACTTCAAAAATTTCCTTGAAACGTCTCTGATTATTCCTTTGATTAACATCTTTGAGATCTCTTATTTCCATGATTTATGTCCACCACTACATTTGTGAAATATCTTGACATGTTCTTTCATGCAAAGGTGCTATGTACATGTGAGGTTTTGTACATCATTGAATGTAAAGTTATTGGAAAGTAGTTCAACTGCTTTATTTTTTCTCGTTCCATGGCAATAAAGTGTTGTTTAAAATGTAGTTTTCTGTGTGTGTGTATATATATATTATTTGTATCATGTGCCATGTGTAAATGCACGTGTTCAGAGGGAACTACAGGTGTTATTAATAATTTAATCCAATTGTTTTTTATCCTAATCGATTTAATCTGGTAAGAATTTCATGTCTGGAATTAATAATAATAATCCTTGCATTTGATTATAGCATGTTATCACATCTTCGAGACATCTCAAATTACTTCACAGAATATACTATAAAGTGAATTAACTATATCTTGTTGGTGAAACAGCTATCTAGCTTTAAATATCCATTATTTTAAACATTCTATAGGAAGGAAAATTATTTTTCATGTCAGATCCCAAGGGGAAAAAAATGTTTCTTTTTGCATGCTTTCACAGAAGCTGGAACCTCAAGATGTGTAATACTGTCTGTTTTCCTGAAAAGAAGTTTCCCACCTGCTGAGCTGGGAGGAGATGCTGCAGTATCATACAGCACACAAACAGGTACTGCGGCTTTCTCTTTGTTAAACAGTGCGGAATGTGAAATTGGCAACATGGGATTTTATCCAGTCTGGCAACTGATCTGTATAAAGTCTGGAACTAAACACCAAAAGTCAGATTTAAATTTAATGGTTGTCTACAACATATAAATTCAGACCAGATTGAAACAAAAGTATCTTAAAGATGTGCACACTAGCAACAAAGGTAGTTTGCGTAATGTGACATAAGTACATTTCCATAAGGACAGAAAGTTATAAATGTTCTGAGACTTCACTTTATACAATGCAATACAAATTTACATTTATATAACATCTTACTATACAGTTAGGATTGAGAAAGTAGAATATAAATTATTGAAGCAGGCGTTTAAACTTGATTTTATGGGTTTGAAAATCATGCAATGTGTGAAAGAAACTCAGGCTTCTGGCTTTCACAGTGAGTTTATTTATATGGATCCAGAGTCTTTTCAATGGGAATGTTTTTGAAAAACTTAGTAGATGACAAAGTTGTTGCTGTGATTTCTACACATAATTAGATACTGTATAGCATTGGAACACCCTAACCTGACCATCCCAGTGTATATATATATTCCACATGAAGCTTCATTCACCCTAATCCCTCATTGCCCTCTATTCCATTCTTCCTCATCAAGACTTTTCTTAAACATCTTTAATGCTTTCTGCTTCAACTACAGCTTTTGGCAGTGAGTTCCATATTTTCACCACCCTCTGTGTAAAGAGGTTTTTCCTAAACTCTCTTTTAGATCTGCCAGTGGCTATGACTATGGCTATCTTATATTCATGGCCCCTTGTTATGGACTACCAGATTGCCAGGTCTAGTTTCAAGCAAGGAGACCATTTCAGCATTGAAAACTGTTGATTGCTATTGAGAATGTTTTATCAATGTTTAATTTAATATGTGAAAAAACATTGTATGGCTAGTGAAAGGCACCTTAAGCATGCACAATGTTAAACATAAAAATCAATCCTATAATTTTTCACATACACTGGACACTATTTTGCATGCTGAATGTGTCTCAGACATGGGTTGCATGGTTGTATTTTAATGAAAATTGATCGTGAATGTGTTTTACCATACAACATGGACCATCTCTCTCTTGTCTGGTTTGGTTCAGAAAGCATGTGAATAGAGCATAAGAATGCTTTGCACAATGTGAGATTGCAGAGCTGGAGGTGGTTTGAATGAAAAATTGGTTTGAGTGATCAATAGAATTAATAACAGCAGAAAGGTTTGTGGAGGATGACAAGATACATCCTCACATGCCTTTTCATAAGCATACTCAGAGGAATGTGGTTGGAGTTTAAAAAGAAACTCTGGGAGTGGTGGCTGATAATAATGTTTTCAGTGTTACTAATCAAATGGAAATGCACTCTGTAAAGAAAAGAACAGACAAGATCCTCTCAAGCGCAGCCTAACCTGTGTGGGTAGTTATGAACAGGAATATACCACCTATGTAAGATGAGATATTTAATATCATCTGACTACCTGGGTCAAAGTAACTAAATTCCTGGACTTTGTGAAAAGAGTAATGAATGAAGTGTCAATGAGTTTGATATACCTTAAAACATGTGTGTGGATCATCAGGGGAACATACAGACCTTGCCAGCAGAGCTGGCATTGCATTACTTAACAGGATTTTTTTTAAAACTGAACCCAGCCCCCACTTTAAAAACTACCCACCAGTGTCATTGGGGAGGAGAACACAAGAATGGATGAGTGGAGACCTTGTGGTTGAATGGATAAAGAACATCTGGTGTCACCTCAAAGGAGAAATATTGATTCCAGAGCTCTTGCACTGGATGCCCACAAGCTGGACGGTGTTAAAACTGTCCCAAGGCTAACACACATACGAGCTGTGATGTCCGGAAGTATATCCAGGCTTCCTAAGCTGCTGGATATAGCAGTTATGAGGCCATTGGAAGTGATGGCCAGGAAGTTGTGGTGTGTATATTTTCACCACAGGTGTTTTATATTCCAGGAAGTAGGAGTTGCATAATGTGAGCAGTGATTTTTAAAGAGGAGAAAAAGCTCACGTTATATCTTGTGCATAGTACAGTATGTACAAAAACTATAATATATTAAATGTAGAGAGATACATTTTAGTGTGTTAATAACAATTATTTGGGACCAGGAAAATAAAATGTGCCTTCTGTGAACATTATGGATCAGTTAATCATGTCAGTAGGATTGAAAGCTGCAGTAATTTTATGATCGCATGACTGTTATAGAATGAGTGAACTAATTCTGCATCATGGATAATTAAAGGTAGAATAATTTTCAAAAATATTTAATTCAATTCTTAAGAACTTGTCCATGGTATCCATTTGTTTTAAAATAATTGTTGATGTGATTGTATTTCTTCTGACAGAGGGCAGCAGATGCTTGGTGAAATAAATATGTAAAGGATTCTTACATGACCAGATATCACATTTGTATTTCATGTTTGCACATTAGTCTGTGATTACTGAGACTTAGAATTGAAGAATACTATAATCTGATCTGATAACTCAAGGGCGTTTCAGCTTTGCATTAGCCCCTTGATGAAATATTCTTCATACAATGTTCTGTTTATACTAGAATTTTTTGATGAACTTTTAAATATTTTTATTTAAAATTTAAAATTGGTTTTGTTCTCCACAGTTTTACGTCATCTGCTTCCATTACTTATTTTCCAGGGCAAATTGAGAGATTTAGAAACACCACTGAAAAGATAACAAGGGGGGAAAGAATCAATTCAGTTATGGTACAGTATAGCATGTGGGATAACAATATAGGGCAACTTAATTATGAGTCGCCTTGGTTGAGCATGGATCTGCTTACAGCACGGGTGAATTGCAGATCCTGTGGTTCACCCACCTCCAGCAAGCCACAGCTGACTTCAGTTCCTGCATGTTATATACTATGCACAGGAGGCGATGTCAACAGTGACCAGATGATCCACAAAGCAGCCATTTTTTTTTAACGTGCATCATTTTAACCTGGAGAATGCGTTTATAGACTCAGACTACCTGGTTAATACAGTGTCATGCTATATAATTGACTGGAGTTCTGAGAAACAAAATAAAGACATTCACAGTATTGGGTTGGTTATGGTGCAGAACTAAGTCAAAGGATGCAAAGGTTATGGTATCTGGTTTTCTTTCAGAATTGTCTAAAACATGGAACGAATGAGCTGAATAATTGACCTTAATGATTTGAATTAGGGATTGGTGGGTGCAGGAGGGAGTGAAATGTATAAATAACTTGTGCTTTTTCAATCAGAAGGAACTTTTACAGGAAAAATGGGCTGCACATAATTAGATTGGGAGCAAAACTATTGTTCAAAATATAAATAAAGCAGTTGGAGGGAATTTTTTAGAAAGTAAGAATGAGCTGAGGTCTGGAGGTGATCAGGAGGGAAAATGTTGCATTTGAGGATAAAGGGGAAATGTAATCAACAAAAACTAAAATGAGAGAAGGAATAATATGTTGAAGAATAAGATCAAATGTTTTCATACTGATGCAAAGAACACTGCAAATAAACTTCTTGAATTAGAGCCACCTGCAGCCATCGAAAGAAAACACTGACTTTATTGGGTAGGATCAAAGAGTCATACCTGAAAGTGCAAGATGGCCATGAGGTGGAGGTATAAGAATTTTGCAAGTTAGATTTATGAAGCTTGGTGAGATTATTGTTCAAGGAAGACATTGTAGCTGTTAGGAGGGGGGAATATAACTGGAGAGAGAAATTGCTGAAGTAATCTTGATAAAACTTAGCAATAAACGCAACAAAATAGTAATTGGCAGCCTGAAGCGACCTCCACCACCACCATAACAACAAATTGTATTTATATAGCGCTTTTTATTATGAGAGGATGGCCCAAAGTACTGGACAGTCAAGGATTTGCACCCAAGCTGGGAGTTGGATTTGGGAGTTGTGGGGACCAAAGGGGTTACAGAGGAGGTAAGATAACCGAAGGTACGGTCAAAGAGGAAGGTCTTCAGATGAATCTTGAAGGAGGCAAGGGAAGAAATTAGGTGAAGTAACTCTGGGATGGAGTTGCAGAAACTGGGGTAGATAGGCTTAGAGCCCAACTGCCGATGGTCGAGTGGACTGGGCAGGGGATGTGAAGCAGGTCAATGTTTGCTGAGCAGGGGGTGTGAGTGAGTTGCTAGAGTTTAATAAGATTGCAGAGGTAGGGTGGAGTAAGATCGTGCAAGAATTTAAAAGTGGGAATGAGAATATTGAACTTAATCCTCTAGGGATGAGAAGGCAGTGGAGTCAGGCGAGGACGTAGTTGATGGGCTTTGTGGAGCTTAGTGCGGGAGACAACACAAACTGCAGAGTTCTGGTTGGTCTGTATCTTGTGAAGGGAAGAAAAGGGAAGTCTGGTGATCAGAGAGTTGACATAGTCTAGCCTGGACGTGATGAAATACAAGCTGAGCAAGCAGATAGAAAGTTGCTTGGGCAAGTAAAAGAAGCCACAGGAAACTGTAATATGATAATCACGAGGGAAGTAAAGTAGTCAGACCAGGGACAGCCAGAGGGAGAAGTGAATATACAAGATGTTTCACAGAAGTAATCAGCAACTTTTTCTTAGCAAATGTGAAGCAGAGTATGAGAGCAGATGCTACATTAGGTTGAGTGTTTAGCACGCCACCAGAACTGACCAGCAACTTGGGAATGGGGTAATACTTGGGCTGCAACAAACATTTTATAGTTAGATTTGATAATTAAACAAACAATAAAGAACATACATTTTTATATTGTCTTGTCATTGTGAAAATATCTTGAAGCTCTCTATACAAATAATAACTGTCAAGCGTGACTTTTTGTAGGCAGCTGTTTCAATCATTGTTTGGCAGCAGTGTCCCACACAAATCCATGATGGTGAATGAGAAATTAATTAGGATGATTGTTGGGCACAGCACTGGAATTTCTGAGTAGCTGAAGACCAAAATTACTAACCAACATAACTTAACCAATGGAGGTATGAGAGCAGTTGTATGACTTCCACTGCTTCAGTTGTCTGTAGAGGACTCTTTACTTTGTCATCAAGGAATAGCATTGTCATGATGTAAGGCTTTATAAGAATCCAACTGTAATTAGCTGACACATACGTCCTTTTTGTAGCTGGCTAAGCAAGGGTAATGTTAGTTTTGGGCATGGGGTGGGGGGAGAGAGGTGGGAGGAAATGAAGGGAAGAGGAATTCACAATGTGTTTCAACTGGGTTTGAGTACATTTAGTCATTACTTTTAGGTTGAAATGCTTGCAGGTTTTCTTAATCTTTTAGTTTATCTTACCATTAGCATTAATAAACATTATAATTCTTCAACAAGTAATGGCTAATCTTTTCATTATTAATCCTGAACCTTAGTTTCAAAAAGTGATCTGAATCCTTAGCATTGTTGTGCTACAGCTTTCTCTGCTGTGTTGACACTTGTGGCTTGGTTGAGTATTGGAATGATTAACACATTGAATACAACAATTAAATAAACTGGTAGTGTTATAAAGCATCAGCAAGAACTATAAAATAAAACATTGAAATCATCAAACCAGTGGAGCAAAATAAATAATTCAACTTTATGTAGAGTTTTCTATTGCAGTGCTTAACAGAGGTATCTTACTGGTTCAATACCTCACAAAAAAGTTCAGAACACATGTCTAACATTTTAACATCAGATTACCAGAAGGGTGTAATTTGTAATGCTTTAGGCTAATACAGAGCAAACATCAATCTCAGTTATTAATAACTTATTTTTGACATTCTATTACACAATTAAAAGAAAAACCTGGAATCCCAATAATTTTCTTAAGTAGCCTTAGGCATCCATGTCATTAGTGCCTTGTGTTTTTCAGTCACTGTGGATAATTGATATTTGAAATCTCCTTAATGGGAATCAGAGCAGTTCACTTGCTTACTGTGCTGATACACCAGGCTAAATATAATAGCTGTTATTTCTTTGGATGTCCTTAGTGCTATACATTGGTGTCAGCCTGGCACAGTTGGTAGCATTCTCGCCTCTGAAACAGAAGATTGTTGGTTCAAGCTTCACGTCAACACTTGAACTCACATAGTCTAGCTTACCACTACATTGCAGTGCTGGGGGTTAAACCAAGGCTCCATTAGCCTGTTCAAGTGGACATTAAAGATTCCACTGCAGTATTAGAAAATGAGAAGGGAATTTCTCCTGGTGTCCTGGCCAATCCTTCAAATAAACTTGGTCATTCATTTTAAGGTTATTTGTAGAACACTGCAGTGCACAAATTAACTGTTGTGTTTCCTAGAAATACAGTCACTTTTCACTTAACAGGAAAATCCAATGAAGCTCTTTGACATCCTAACGATGTGAAAGGCACTATACCAAATGCAAGAATTTATCATTATTATTGTTAATTACTGCTGTCAAAATAAATGTGAATTCTACATGTTTTTGTGCACATGAATTAATGTGCACTCTCTAAGCTTTTACTTAAGAAGGGGCTGGCAAATATGGAATTATATCTAGCAATGGCCAGCTCCTTCAGCACGGGGGGAGAGGGGAGGAATTATTTGCCTTTGATGAGGGCAAGTTTATATGAGTGAACCACATTTGATGATTACAAAAAGAATTAAGGTGATTAGAAAATATTTCCTTACGCAGAGGTGGTTAGAATATGGAATTATCTGCAGAGGACATCAATTATTTAGTAAAGAAATTCAATTCTTGAACAGGTGGAATATTAATGGGTACAGCAGGAGAGTGGGATTAGATTAGTTGATTAATAAAGGAAACACTTCAGGGTAGACTTGATGGTCTATGTGGGCTGTTTCTGTTCTGTCATTCTTAGATTCCTAGAATGTCAACTCAGAAGTATTAATATTTAGTTGGATCTTGCTGTAATTTATCATTTTGAAAGTGTACAGTTAAAGAAAGTAAATTTCTTTGTTAGTAATTTGCAGACCAGATGGTAAATCCAGAGCTTGTAAGCTAGAACATATTAGGTTTTTTTTAAAGAATGACCCATTCTAATCCAATGTGATGTGAGTTGGCACACCAAGCAAATATACATTGTGCTCGTGTTGGTGGACGAACATGGAAAGTTTGCTAGTATGATCCATTATCTTCACTTTAAATTATTGTCCGGTTAAACATGCCATTAAACCTGCTCGTCTTTCCACCAGATGTCCCACAAATATAATATTCTAGAAACCTACATCTTGTGGGATAATTGTGTGAAAATCTCTCCATGGAGTTAATGCTGAATGGAAGGAATTTATTACCGACCATTTTAGCAATTGTTCATACGTTGAAATGCTACATACGCTTTAGTTTGACTGTGTTAGATGTTGAAACATCTAAAGGGTTTAAAGGTGGTATAAATAGTAAGGAAAGATGATGTTTAGATATCTATTAAAGGAGTGAGCAATTAAAATAAAAAAATGACTAACAGATTTCTTTTTCTTTATGCTTTCTTTTGGAATTTAGAGCAAAACCCCGCAGGTACGTTTTAGCAGTCATTCATACATATTAGCAATCGTTTAGCCCTTTGTATCAAAGCTTTGTATTTTGTTTCAGAAATGGAGACGGAGAAGTATAGGAGATTTTAAACATTAACACTTTTGGCTTAAATTTATTATATATTTTATATTATTTAAATAAATCTCTTGTAGTCTACTCGTTTATTCATTTTTATATGCATGCAACAATTGGGAGTACCTCTTAAAATATATTTGATGTTTGCAAAGATTTATTGTCTGACTGAATAAAACTCCTTCTGGATTTTGCCTTTCAATATTATTCCTTTTTTTTGTAAATCTCAAAATTTTCAGTCATGGTATTTCTTCTATTTGCATAGTTCGTCAATTATGCTGATTGTTCAATGAAATATGGAGTGCAGGGATTCATACCTATGGGGAAAAATGGCTTTCTGACCTTCATTGTAATGCTATTTTTTAAAAAAAGGGGTGGCATCTTGGCCAACAATTCAACTAGATTATCATAGGGTGAGATAGTTGATGAGGCCACATTTTTGTATAATGGTGTTGATTAAAGTGTCTGAACAGGAAAATTGCTGCAAAAATTATAAAAATCCCTAAAGAAGTCTCTGGACATAAATTGCAGCGTAGGCAGGAAAATCCTTGTTGATCTCTCTGAAAACATCATATTGACCTGTCAACTCCCTCCGCTCAGCAGGCCTGCTCCACGTCCCCCGTCCAGCCTGCCCCACCATTGGCGGTCAGGCCTTCAGCCTCTCTGTCTCAAACCTTTGGAATTGCATCCCACAGTCCCTTCGCCTCGTTCCCTCCCTTGACTTCTTCAAGGCATAGCTCAAGACCTTTCTCTTCAAGGCACCTTCAACCACTCTCCCACCCCTATCCTCCCTGCCATCCACCACTCCTGATACAATACAATATTGAATTATACTTGTATAGCGCCTTTCACGTCTGGAGGACATCCCAAGGTGTTGGACAGTCAGGGATTTGGCCCCGATTGGTGGGGGTTGGAATCAGGGAGGGTGGAGAACAAGGAGGGTAGGAGGTGGCTGAAGGCGAGGACGAGGATTTTGAACTCGATCCTCTTAGAGGATGTGGAGCCGGGTAAGGGTGGGAGTGGTAGGGTCACGGAGCCTGGTGCGGGAGAGGACATGAGCTGCAGAGTTCTGGATGATCTGCAGCTTGTGGAGGGAATAGTTAGGAAAGCCAAGAAGCAGGGAGTTTGTGTGGTTGAGCTGAGATGTGATGAATGCGTGGGTGAGGGTGTCGGCAGCCTGAAGGGTGAGGCAGTGACAGAGTCGACGATGTTGCGGAGGTGGGGAAAGGCAGAGCGGGTCATGACACTGATGTGGAGTAGAAAGGACAGTTGAGGGTCAAATAAGACGCCAAGGTTCTGGACTGGCTCAGTGAGGTGGAGTGTGCGTCCTTGTCAGTGCCTGAGGTGTGGAGGCATTCACGGGAGCCAATCTGTAGAACCTCGGTCTTGTTGACATTCAACAGTTAGCTCTCATCCAGGACTTGATGTCTGACAGACATTCTGTCAGGACAGCAGTGGTCCTGGATTCGAGGATGGAGGCAGAGAGATAGAGTTGGGTGTCATCTACATGTCAAAGTTGACCCCATGTCTGCGGATGATGTCACCAAGAGGTAGCATGTACAAGTTGAAGAGAGGACCAAAGACAGAGCCCCAAGGAAGGCCGCACGAGATGGTGGGGGGACTGGAGGCGAAGCTGTTTGATGAGACAAAGTGGCAACAGTGTGGAAGGTAGGATCTGAACCATTCAAGGACAGAAGCATGAAGGTTGAGGTTAGAGGAGTGGCGATGAAGGAGGATAGAGTGGTCAACGGATTTAGACTCACTGCTTGGGTCCAAATCACTGAGTGTCCTGCTCCTTGGGACGTCCTCCTAACGTGAAAAGCGATATCATAGAATTATACAGCACAGAAGAAGGCCATTCAGCCCATTGTGTCTGTGACGGCTCTTTGAAAAGAGCTATTCAGTTCAATCCCACTCCCCCACTCTCGCCCCATAGCCCTGCAAACGTATCCTCCCCAAATATCTAAATATATACAAATGTAATTTTTTCCTGCAAAAGACACCTTGAGATGCTTTTTCAGACTCATTATTTATGAGCAACCAGCAGTATTTTCAGATCTCTTTGGGCCACATTGTTGTACAATAATTGTTGCATTTGATATACTGCTTCTAATGTTTAAATATTTCGAAGTGATTCACAGGTTGCGGTCGAATGTGATGACTGTAATTGTACAAAAATACAGCACCCATTTTAGGTATAGCAAGGCAAGGTCTCACAAACAGCAATGACCAAGAAGGTGGCCTCATTTCAGCTCTCTGAATGTGCTGTTTTGAACACCAATAGGCATGCAGGAGTCCTCTGTTGGAGTTTCCTTCCTATTTTCCCTTTAAGAAGCTTTGTGACGCAAATGGCAGCCTGTGTTTCTTTTCCCCAATTGAAATAGTAATAAGCTCTTAGCTGTTGAATACCTTGTCATGCAACCTCTGCAGAAAACAGAAAATGTAAATTTATAAATGAAATGTAGGAGGTAGCAATATCTGAGGTTATATCCTTTTTGTCAACTTATGGATCCTTCAGTTTCATTGTCTGACCCTTTTCCAGGTCCAGGTGAAATGTACACTATGCTAATGCTTTTTCAGATGTGCGGTTGTGATGTGACTATTTGAAAGATTGTTATGTATGCTATCCCACAGGCTGTTTTTTTTGTGTGATTGCCGGGATGTTGAGAGCATTGGTTGAATGAAGCAACTTAGTGTAGTAGCGTGCCTAAGCAGACAAAACAGGAAAGGATTAACAAATGTTGGCAACCAGGTTTGTGTTACCGACCTGGGTTTCCATTTCATTCTGTTTCTGAGAAGAAATGTTTGGAGGGGAGGGGGAAAATATATAATTTCACACATTGTTTGACAGTTTGAGGTATATTTCATTCAATGCTTCCTTACACTGATGCAATTTTTATAAAGTTGAAAGATTAATCCGAATTAACAAATAGTTTTCTTACTATTTTTACATAAATTAGGCAGACCGGTTACAAAAAATGGTAAGTGGAAGTAAATTTCAATGTACTAAAGCACTCTGTGGAGATTAAAGAGTCGAAAATCAGCCACTTCCAGCATTCAATGTCGAGACTCATATTTATTGGTCATTTGCGTCAGGTATCAACCACCTGGAAACTCTGGTAAAATTGGAAAGAAGGAGTCAAACCCAAAGAAAACAATTCAATACAGGTTTCAATGAAATTACTTGTGAATTATGATGTGTAATCTTTAGAATTATGGTTTTGGTTGAATGAGACGCAAAAAGGTAATGGAATTTGTCGACGCAAGTATTTAGGAAGAAATATTCTTGCATTCACCTACAAATACAAAGTCACTACACTTCACAGTAAAACCCTGTGAAGTGCCTTGAGACGTTTTGATAATATGATAAGGCGAGGAGCTTAATCAAATTCAAACACTAGTATTATTGGATTATTCGTAAGTAGTCCGTCTGTGGGACCACCACCAAACAGAAAATTGTGCTTTAATGGAAACGGAGATACTTTCTTCAGAGTACTGTATGATGTATTCTGCATCCTGAGTTTTAATTTCTTTCCAGTTTTTCTTAGTTTTGTCCTCCTAATTATAAGACTCAACTCTATAAAGCAGCAAGGGTTACATCATAAGATACCGTAGGGCATGTTCTACGCATGGGTTGACTTTAGACATGTTCACTGTCTTTGGTGAATTGTCAGGGGAGCCTGAAATAACATTCTTGGCAACTGTTCAAGTATGGAGTGGATAACTGATGCATAGATTTTGAAACATTAAGGGGGACGCCAAACCATGATTCTTTGGGTGAAGATTTGTTTGGCAGCACCCTTCAGGATATATTCAACTTGTGTGTTCCACATCTAGTTTTTGATATCTATACCTCAACTAAGAGAAGCGAAGAATTGCACAGGAAAACTGACAGTCATGTTCTTACATTTTGCAAGGTCGTGTTTACCTTTGGTCAGCCACCTAAACAACCACGTGATCACATTCCACCTGTAATTACTGACTTTGAAAGTTCTTTGGTAAGCCTATAGTTACAGTATAAGTGTCTGCAGATTTTCGCTACTTGATGGCATTTGTTAAATAATGTGTTTATGATAGACAGCTGATAACCAAACTCACAATGTTTCCTTATTGTTTAAATTAAATTTGTCTATGTGGTAACTGAATTCCTATTTCTATGCAGAGGTTGAACTTCAGTTGAATATTAAAAAAAACAACAGCTGTTTGGGTAATCTTGCTCCATTGATGTACACTTGTACTTGTTTTGAATCTGAGGATGTGCTGAGGCATTGACCTTTGAGCAAATGACATTATGTGTTATAGCTAAAATATACATCTTTAGCTCACTTTTAACATCACCATTATTAGTTCTATAATTACTTTGATAATTATTCAATTTTGACTCAAGTTTGATGTTTTGGCTTCCCTGCAGCTATGTTTTTCATAAATTACTAAAGACAGTAATGCATTTGATTTTGTTTAAACATCGTAAATTAAAAAAAGGTTGTGTGCTTTACATGTTCACTTCAAGTGTTTAAATGCAATGATGATGTATATTTGATATCTTAGAGTTTGAAACCTCATTGGTTCCATATGTGGTGAAGGTTAGAAAATTGAAAATATTTAAAAAACTAAAGCAGGCTAGCTAGGAGGATGGGCATAACACATAAAAATAGCAAGTATCAGCAACAATGCACGTCTCAAAGTGCTTCACAGAATATACCGTAAAGTGAATTGACTGTATATTTGGGGGCGAAATAATCGGCAACAGTTAGTACGAGGACAAAGACAAATAATATTAACCCTTGCATTTTAGAAGACGGGGAGACATCAGAAATTAAGCACAGCAGATTAGCAGAGACGAGGGGGTTGATCAGAGGTGGAGGAACTAGTGACGGCTGGCTCAGTTGGAAGCGCTCTGAGTCAAAAAGGCTGGGGAGATTCAAACCCCACTTTTGGACTTTGAGCTCATAGTCTAGGCTGATACTTCAGTGGGGTACTAGAGAAGCTCTGCATTATCATAAACACCATCCTCTAGATAAGATGTTCAATTGAGTCTTGTCTCCCTCAATGGTGAATGCTAGATTCCATAATACTATCCAAAAAAAGAAGGGAGAATCTCCCTGCCCTCCATATAAAATTAGTCGTTCACTTCATGTTTGTGGAAAATTGCTGTATGCCAATTGGCTGACACATTTGCCTGCAAACTACATAGCCAGTACACTTAACAATAAATCCTGTGAAGTATTTCGAGATATAAAACATTGGTGTGAGTTTTGGGAACCCTATCATAGGAATCTTATACTTGTCTTGGAGAGAGACAAGCAATAATTCACCAGATTAATACTTAGGATGAAGGGTTTAGCTATGATGAGATGCTAGGTAAATTTGGATTGCACCAAAGGCCTCAATAGATATTAGCAATCCAGTGACACAGGAAATAAGCAACTTTCATCATCATTAGTGAGATTAGACAGTTTAATTGGCCTTTGGTCAAACTAGCAGATCAAAGCTGTTTCTGACGTTTGTTCAAAAGTAACTGTACATAAATGTTTAAGTACTCAAAAGAAAATAGGAAGAAATTCATTGATTTGATTCCAGATACATTTGAGAGGAAGTGAGAAAAAAATCCATTTGACCTAAAGTGGCTACAGAATTGTTGTGCAGTTCGTTAGTATACAAATTTGTTTTGGACGCATGAGGAAACCATCACTGGGCTTAAGAGTATCAAAACCAGACCGAGAGTTTGGCAATCTTCCCACTGCTTGGCCATCTAGGACCACCCTCCCCATTAGGGCTTTGGCCTGCAGGGTTAATAGGAGTTGAGTGGGAAGAATCCCTGCATCTGGTGCCTCCATGTCCTACTGATGAGCCAGACTTGCTGGGTTGTTATTGCTGTACTGTATACCCACATGGCTCATGAACTGGAATGCTGACAGTGTCACATAGAGTTGACTTGATTCTTAAATCATTGTCAAGCATTTTACCTTGGGGCTAGTTCAGCTCCAGGAACATCCAGCTTGCTTCCCACGCCCCTCTCCTGTGTGTGATATCAAAACATCTCTGAGTGCTTTATAGGTAATTCCTGTCAAATTGGGTGTCTGTTTTATGAAGGCAGGGCAGCCATTTTGCAAAAAACAAAATACTCACAGTCGGCCATGAGGTGAATAACTAATTTAATTGGAGGATTTTTGGCCAGGCACAAACATGATGTGCGTGGAAGCAAGTAAGTTTCACATGAAACAAATGGTTGAATTTTGTATAAGTGATTTTGCTTTTCCACATATGCTTGTTTAGGTTACTTACTATAAATTTTTGGCTATTTGCAATTGTCCTTCAAGCGCAAGTTCGACCTTAGTCCTTTACAGAGTCATTTTTAGAATGTGAATCGTTTCAAGCAATTAGGATTGACATCATTAAACGTATGGATATGCATAAATGGTGCCTCGCACTGCATGAAGCATCTCAGAAAATAAAGTATATCTTACCTCTTTCTCTCCGCCCCATACTCCAAGTACATTGTGTCCTCTCTGATCCAACCTTGTCTTATGTCTGAGGTACTCGTTTGTGATTTCCTGATGAACACCATTTATATCCTGAGGTACATTTTTCCAACCCGATGTTTAAGATACTTTGTAGCTTTGATACTTGAGCTCCATGGCTCATCACAACTCATCCCATTGCAAAATTATTCAACATTGATTTTTATAATATGTCTCTTGACTAGATGATGCAGATTTTTTAAAAAAAAATGTCATTAAACCAAGCAAATATCATCAGCGATATCAGCATCTTTATGGATCCCTGGATGAAATCACCATTTTTGAATTTTGAAAAAGATTGAAAAGGTTGTATTGAATCCCATTTTGGTTTCACATCTTTCGTTGTGTGTCACTGTATATTTTCACCAAGTAGACAAAATTGTAAGAAAGATACTGTAATTTAGAAATCTGCCTGAGAGAGATGCAAAGCTTCAAGACAGATATGAATGATTTACACATTTCATTAAGTAGATGTGCTACACATACAATTTCATCTCTGAACTGCTTTGATTCCTTACTGCTATATTAGAAGGAATTTGTGGAATTACTTCACTGAAACAAATCATGTTGGGCCTCATATCTTAAGGTGACTAATTAAATGTTTATTTTTATGTATTGTAAATATGTTTTAACACATGCAATGAATTATTGTGTGGGTTAGCTGTTCTTAACTCTTGAGTACTAGGTCTACAGAAACACCGGTCTGTTGTTTCCAGTTCTTGCATTTGGAAGTTGGAAAACAATGTTACAACTGACGCTATTTGAAAGAAGAATATAAAACAACTGAAGTTGTATCCAGAAGTTTAAAAGTAATTAATCTTGTGTTTCAGGTATTCCTCGAATCGCGCACTGTAAATTTAGTTTGCCCCTGAAGTTAGTTTGCCAACAGAGCCAACCATCTAAGAATGCGACTAATAAAATAACAATTGAAACAAACAAACCTCCTGTAAATCTTTTGGCACTCTTTCCAGGTAAGATTTTTTCACAATACGGTACTTCAGCAATTCCAAGAATGCTACATGACGTATTTTAATTTATAACTGGGCAACTGTCGATTAGTGGAGATACATCAACATATAGTTAGAGCTATATTACTGAACTGGAACATAGATACTTTGTTGTGCATTTCTGCAGCATTCTCAATTTTTAATTCAGTACAGCAATTTTTTTTAAAAATCGCTAAACATTGTTATTATCTATTTAATCACAATTTTCAGTTCCTGTAAGATTTGACAAATTTACTAAATAAGTTATTGCATGAATTACTAGCATAAAATGTTTACAAGATCTTTGAGAAATATTTTTATTTCTAAGCTAATGTTATATAAAAAACTAGTTTACAACAGGCATAGGTTGAGCAGTAATTAGATGTATTTGAATATTTTCTGACTGTGTGATGCTCATTTATTAGGTAATAATCCTTGCATTTGATACAGCGCTTTTCACGTATTTGAAAGTCTCAAAGCGCTTCACAGAATAAATTGTAAAGTGAATTGACTGTATATTTGTGGGTAAACTGCGGTAGCCAATTGCGCACAGCAGTGTCCCACAAACAATTGTGGATTGAGTGACCAAATTATTATTTAATTATTTTTTCTTTTGAGGGATTATTATCAGGCGTGTGCAGTAAAGAAATTTGCTCAAGGTTTCGCCCTGCCTAGATAGTTTGTAACAGGCAAAAAAGATCACTATTAACTTGGTTTTTACAAGCAATACTAATACAATGCCCTGCTCGCTGCCCTTCCAGTCCCCCACTTGCCTGCATCCTCTGCTCCACCCTCCACAAGTTCCAGACCATCCAGTACTTTATATCACCTCTGCACCAGGCTCTACAAAAGTGCTCAACTTTAATGCCTTTGTGACCTTGCCCCATCTTACCTCAGCAATCTACTGTGACCCTAATCTCCAACTACTCCCACCTCTGCCAAATCTGGCCTGCTTCATGCCTTCCCCCACCATTAACTTTGCTTCTACCCCTCCATATCCTTCCCAGCTCGTGCTCCCGCTCAGTCTTTGAAAAGCTCATTGAGATGTTCTCCCTATGCAAAAAGTCTCAAATAAGTGAAAATTGTTATTCCTGTGTGTTTGCTTTTGTTTTGATTTTTTAAAAATGCTTTTAGATTTCCTTGGACAATCAGATGATGACCAGATCAATGTTTTGGGATTAAAATTATTCTCGGGTGCAACAACTACAGTTCTAGCTTCCAAAACATCACGTGAGTATGGGTTTCTGTTCAACAAAACTAACCAGTGTAACTATCAATGACCCTTTTAAATATAGTATAGCTAATAAGTAATAAGTAATAAATGAGTTCACCTCTTTTTAATAAAAAAAGGAAACAAACTTTCTTCGTAAATTGGGTTCCAGAGGGGAAATTGCTATTAGAGCAATTTGGAACTAAATTTCCAACTTCATTCAGCAATTTCATTTTCATTGGGATAAACTGCTACATCCCATCTACAACAAGATAAAATACCAGAACAATGTCTCACTTTGGGGATAAGATTCTGTTTTGGGGTAATGTTACAGACCCAAGCAGTTTGTGCACATACAGTTTGTGTCACAACAACAACAGATTACATTTATATAGTGCCTTTCACATCGAGAGGACATCCCAAGGTGCTGGAACGTTCCAAGGTGCATTAAGTTATAAAATGTTATAAAATTATAAAATTATAAAAATGGCCACCATTTAGTGCTTCCAGGTCATCGGGTTGCTACTGGTATCACTTTCCCTGAATTCTCCATGCATGGTGCATGCATGTAGAATTCAGGAAACGAGAAGCTGCTCTCATGATCGTTTTCAGGGATTGCTGGGACACCGGTCAATGCACACTATACTCTGGAAGCTAAGCAATCAGTCAAAGAGGGTTTTGCACTTCCAGTATGCTGGGATCCATGGTGTGAACTGTTATAAATGGATCAAAGCATGTTATAATGTGTTCCTGTAATCAAGAAAGAATGTTCTTTTCGAGATGGGTCAGGAAGAAGCTGGACACTTGATTATGTTAAGTATTTGTCGAGGCTTGTAATGTTGCTCATTTATATTATTGAGGATGTTAAAAATGCTAACAAATGGTTTGTTCATGGAACACCAAAAATCAAATCTTTTATAAAATGGCCCCATCTGCACATTAAACTCCCTTGAACATGCATGGTGTGTCCAATGCTGCATTAACAAATCACATTCAGTTTTGTGTATGAACTTTTGAAGAAAATGAGGCACAATTACAAATCTTGGAATCCTTTTTGGAAACAAAATATTTAAAACCTAATATTGGCTATTAACCTAATGTCATGCAGTTGTTTGAAATAATTCCATTGGAAGTTGTCCACCTTCCTGCCATAATAACCATTAGGCAATGCAATTTCCTTGAAATCAGTATATTTTATATATTTTCATCCAGCATTTTTTCGCTAATGTTTAACTGAGCTCTAAATACTGTTGTTTCATGTTAACTAAAACCTAGTTCTTCCACAGATCATTTCTGCAGTACAAAAAACAATAGACCTGCATCTTGTTACATAAGGTTAACTTAATTACATGTAAGAATAATATATAAATATATGCTTGTCTGTATTGTACATGTAATGTCAGTGTCTCATAACGCTTCAAAGGAATTCTTTACAAGTATAGACTTTTTGTAGTCAATTGAGGCAGCCATTTTGGGCACAGTGAAGACTCACAAAGAGCCACAACATTAATTACGAATTAATCTGGAAGAATGTTGGTCAAATGACTGAGAAACTCCCTTCCTTTTTAGGATCTTAATATACAGGTTTTAGAAATCTGAGAGATTTAAAATTGAGAACTCAAGGGCACATGCTTCATTATCATTTGCAGGCAGAACAAAACACTGTAGAAGTTGCAGTTAAAGAGATTAAATGCACAAGGTAGAAACTATAATAGAGTAAATATAAATATTGATGCATTCATTATTTATCACATTAAATGTTGACTGCATGTTTTGAAGGTCCTTTACCCTTTCCCTGATATCAATTTCAATAGCAACATCCATGAAACCCAGTCAGTAAGATTAAACTTGTATTGGACTTTGGTGAGCAGGATTTTTTTAACCAAAGAAATTGCAAGTAAAGGTGGTATTCTGCTAACTAACAGCCACATGCCTCGTTCTGCAAGTCCAAATGTGGGCCTTGCTTCTCCAAACTAACAAAGTTAAAGTCCACTTCATTAAAGACTTTTGGCCGAGCTGGCTCCAAGGAGATGTGAATAGCAATGGAATATTGTAATCATGATGCTCCTCTGTGGGGCTCTTGGTAGTCTGGTTCTTTAGTCAGACAACTCTCCAGTATTTCAAGGTATCTCTGATGACCAACCAACCAACCTGACATGTTGACAGGATGTCAGGTGCAAACCAGTCGCAAGGGATTCCTCCCACTCGGTTTCCGTAACCGTGCAAGCCACAACCTAACAGCTGTATTGGTCCAAGCTGGATAAGCAGCTTGACACTTACCAGACAGTGTTTGCAATAGCAAGATGGTTTAAATCCATAGTTTAAGCTTTTTTTTCAGGCTTAAATGTTTGTTGATTCAATCTAATCTGACAATGGCTCATCTTAATTAAAATATTTATGTTCATAAGAGTCATCAAATAATTGTGGTTGAAAATATTGTGCTGCAACAAACAGAAACACAGTGGGATTTCAAAGTATAGAAAAATACTTGAGATAAATCACTGAACAGTAAACAGTGTTGTATATGGTGAAATGCTCAGCTTGTGATGGGTTTGATTGCAGTACCCAGCTTGGAGGAAGGTTTGAAAATGTGTGTCTAATGGATATGACTAAAAGATTAAGTTCATGGAAATGTTTCTTTAAGATGTGACAGTGGACATGAGTTGTCAGAATTGATATTAAATGAATGACTAGCACTGAACTAAAATAATTTGGATTTTTGAAAATCCTCTGATGTTCAATACACTTTACTTTCAAAATGAATACCAGAAACATTTTTTTAAATCCATTTCTCAGGTCGTTACAGAGTTCAATGTGACCAGTTTGAAGACCTCTGGCTGATAACGAAAGAAATTGTCCAGCGTTTACAAGAGAATTTTGCCAGCCAAGGAACCCAAGACTTTATGTGCAAATTCCCTGGGCCCATTCCCCTGCTGGAGTATTTTGAACTCATCGATAAACATTTTGAGGTCTTGTCTTTTTCTTACATAAATTTTCGCATTACTTATGTAGTCCAAACATAATCAGTGACTTAAGGACCTAGATATAAGACAGTTACAAGAAGAGTGAAAGGAGAACATAGGAGCATTTTGTTTCACACAAAAAATTGTTGGGATATGCAATGCCCTACCAAGTAAGGTAGTGTAAGCACAGTCTATTGTGGATTTCACGAGGAATGTAGACAGGTTTATGAATGTGGGAGGCTTGAAGGGTTATGGGAATGGGATAGCACAGTGGTATTGAACGTACAGCTTACTCTGAAAGCCAGTGCAGACTCGATGGGCCCAATGGTTCCTTTTGCATTGTAATTTCTATGATTATAGATTTCAATTGTCTCAATGGGCATTATTGTACATGAAAACAGTTTTTATTTCTTTACAGCAGAGAAGTTGATGAGATCTCTTATATTGTTTTTGCAGTTGCGCCTAAATGCTGAGAAGTACAAAGAGCTTCTTTCAGAAAGGGCTGTACAGTTCAGAGCTATCCAACGGCGACTTTTAACCCATTTCAAGGACAAAACTCCCACTCCTCTACGTAATCTGGACACATTGTTGGATGGAACTTATCGGCAGGTTAGTGTGCCTTAAAAAGCTATGTAAAAGAAAGTGTAATATCTGTTGAAAACTATAGTTACCAGCTGCTTGAATGTTACGTTTACAAGATATACTTGCTTGTGTCATTGCTTTTGCTGCATATAATGTGGATATGATGTATGTTGTCATTTTAAAACATGAAGTAGTCTTGAGGCTTTTTAATGTATTTATTAAAAACACCGACATCCCACATCAATGTGTTTTGTTTCAGCACTAGCTCAGTCAATGCTAGTTCATTTTGGGTTCAGTTTGCATTAGATCTTTGATGCAAGACCATCTATAAAGTAGAAAATTAACAAACGTTTAAAACAACAATGTACTGGTTCATTCTTTGGTCTTCATACAATGCTGTTGTGAGTTATTTACCTGTTTAGATACATTTACCTATATAGATATATTTATCAAATTACTGACAGGGTATTTGAAGCATTAATGGGTTAAAATGTATTTCATGATAGCAAGAGATAATTCACAAAATGATACTTAATTTTTCAAATACATTTTAACAAGCAGAGAGATATTTTTCTTTGATTGAATATTATTACTCGGATTGTAAATGAAAATTTGCGCATAGAGTAATAAAAATAAAAATGGTTTTGGGAAGAAGGGAGAAAACAAATGAGATATTGCATTCAAACAAGAGAAAATATAGAGAAACTACAGGTAGTAGTTAGAACTTAGACTACTGGCAGATACAGCAATATTTGTTTCTGTGGCACAGACAGTTTCCTAAGTTCTCAGCTCATGCCCCACTAGTTTTATTAAAGATTAATCCTCAAGTATAAAACTTGAGGATCAACAGATAATACACAAGTTTAGCTTTTTCTAAAAAGTGAAACACTTCACTGCTTTGTCTTCAAGGCCCTCCATGGCCTTACCCCTTCCTACCTCCGTGACCTGCTAACCCCATATCAACCTGTCCACTCCTTCAACTTAGCAGGCTCTGGCCTGTTTCACGTTCCCCCATCTGGCCCATCCAACATCGACGGTCGGGCCTTCAGCCTCCCTTCACCTTGCTCCCTCCCTGCCCTCCTTCAAGGCACGTCTCAAGACCCTCCTCTTCAACCGCGCCTGTGGCCATCTTCCTACCCTCGCTACTCTCCACCCTCCCTGATCCCAACCCCCCCACCCCACCCTCTCAGGTCCAAATCCCTGACTGTCCAGCGCCTTGGGATGTCCTCTTGACGTGAAAGGCGCTTTACAAATGTAATTTTGCAATGTAACTCTGCTCTTTATCTTCCAATTTTCTGTCCGATCCTCCTTTTTGCTTTAAAACTAAAATAAATCTAATTCTAAGCAATTCTATCTTTAAACTGAAATGTAACATCTTCCACTTAGCTTCTTTCCTCCTCCTGACTCTAACCATCATTTTGTAAGTGGAAGCAGGCCTTTTTTACTACTGTAAAGGCATGTTCTTTATCCAATCAAAAGTGAAGCCATTGATATGAATACATCATACATGCACAAGGTGCCATCTTTCATTTGCTGTTATTACTTAGAAACAGGAATAAGGCTGCTGAGGAAGTGTACTTCCTGAGACTTCCCAATGAATGCTGTATTTCTGAAGCATTATGGTTGTAGTGGATCTAGAAAAAGATTATAAACCACAATAACTGAGTCTGTAAATTAACTTGAGGTTTCTGTTTTAGAATAACACTTGTGTATTCATAGGCTAGGTTGTTGGGCATTTACTCCCCCATCTCTGCAATATCAAGGGTGAAATTCACCTTGCAGTCAATAATTAGAGCCTTTAACATGAATTAAATTAAATTAAATTGAATCCCACTCAACAGGTAATTAGATATGGAGTTTGAATAATTTATGTACTAATTGTCAGTTGTGCACACTTTTCAGGCATTACAGTGATGTTAGCAAACCAGAAAGGAAACAATTTAACTAATCTTTAAAAGCAACAAAACAAAACCAGGAAGATAATAAGGGACACGAAGGAAGCTTATGCAAAATGCATGTCTGTTAATACAGCAGAAAATACAAAATCTATCAAAGGCATAGAAAGTAGGAAAAAGGGAATTTAGGAAGTCTAAGAGAGAACATGAGACAAAACTATTGGACAATATTAAAGGAACTATAAACATATTAGAAGTAAAGGAGGGGTTTGGCCATTTTGGAACAAAAGCCATGGTGCAAAAGGAGGGGTTGGCAGAGCTATTTAATTAATATTGCTTCAGTTTTCACTGAAGATATGGATACTCACAATAGAACTTAAAAAAAAGGAAACAAGGAAAAGGTACTTGGGATCAAAAAGGAAATTACTATAAAAATTAGGAGAACTAAAAATCAAGAAATCACAAGGGCCTGGTGGCATGCATTCCAGATTGTAAAGAGAAGTTGGAGATAGTTGAGGCACTGTTGATAATTTTCCAAACGTCTTTGATGGTTGGTAGGGTGGCAAATGTGGTGCCTGTGTTCAAGAAAAGCGCCAAGTATAAGTGAGGGAACTACAGGCCATTTAGCTTTATGTCAGATGTGGATAAACATTTGGAGGCAATGAGATCAGGGATAGACAACATGGATTTGTGATCTTGTTTGACGAAAAGAGTTCTTTGTAGAAGTAACTGAAAATGTAGATCAAGGCAATGTTGTGTATTTGGATTTCCAAAAAGCATTTGATAAGGTGACGCATGGAAAACTGGTAGAGAATCCGAGGGCACATGGAATAGGGGGAAATGTGATTTGGATAGAAAGGTAGTTGAAGGATCGAAAGCAGAAATTAAAACATTGTTTTTTTCAGTTGGAGGAAGGTAGGGGCCAATGCAGGGGCCTCTCCTTTTTTCCATACATATCAATGAACTTGACTTAGAAAAAAGGGAGTGCAGTGTCAAAGATAATACCAAGCTAAGAAGTATAATGTAAAGCAATGATGATGGAAAGAAACTGCAGGAGAGTTTACAACAACAACAAGATTACATTTTGTATAGCGCCCTTCACGTTGGGAGGACGTCCCAAGGCGATGGACAGAGTACAGCATTTCAGGTTTACACAGATAAGCACAGTGGGCTGATCAGTGGGAAATTAAGTTTAACGAAAAGAAATTTGAGGTGATAGAAAAAAATAAGGGAATGGAGTATATATTGAATGGCAGTGTCTTGCAAGAACCTAAGGAGCAAAGAGATTCGGGAATGCAGGGACATTGAAAGTAGTATTGAAAGCGTCAAAGGCTGTAAAGAAAGCTTATAGCATGCTGGGTTTTATACACAGGTATCGAGTACAAAAGTAAAGCAATAATGTTAAGTTGTACAAAACATTAGTTAGACTGCAACTGGAGTACTACGTTCAGTTTTAGGAGGTAGACATTGTTACGGAGTAACATTATTTGAATGCTTTAGTCTGCTTTCCTTAACATTAAAATTGTCTGCCAATTTTCTTAGTCCATGTAGAAATATTCAATGTTCAGCTAAAATATCCAGTCATTTTAAGAATGTTGTCTTTAAAGCTACACTTCTAAAACTATATATTTTATACTTCTCTCTGCCTCATATGAATGTTGGGGGGAAAACCCAATGCTGTCATGGGAATCACTAACAGATTAAGAATTCTCTTGGTTTTATTTTCACATGACTCCATGGCCTCTTGTAACTAGACTCTCCCTGTATTTTAGCTGATGATTTGTGGTAACTCATTGTTCCAAGATTTTCTAATTGCCCTTGTATAATTACACTGCACTTTATAGTCTCAGTAGGAGTCCGACCTGCTAAAACTTCAACCCCCGTTTGTCACTATAAGTGATCTAGGTTAGCAACATCTAAATTGGCTCCAGGTCAACAAAAACCATCGGTAGCTGTGACCTCAGGTTTGGGACAATTTGGAGCCATGTGGATCCTACAACCATAAATGGGCAGATGGATTCCATTGCTAAATTCTCCGCTCTATACTGACATGGTTACTCAAGCCACAACTGTTCCCATTTTCCACAAGTGTATTTAGAACTTGTACAGAACATCAGAGACGAGTGCTCTAGTACACATTGTTTCTAGTAGCCCAAATTTTAGCTGATGTCCTGTAATGTTCTCCTTGCACTACTGTTAAAGTAGATCATTGTGTTTTCAACATTTCAAAAAAATTATGTGTACATATTCTTGGGTGGTCTCCAACCAAAGTGGAGTCATTGATGATTGACATAGTTATGCTTAAGCCAATCTTATTATAACATATCAATTTAGGTGATCTGTGCTGGTATGCAGAACTTTGTGTGTGTGTTTAGTTGCACGTGGAGAGCCTTCTTCAAACCCCCAACAAGAGCAATTCAAAATGGGCAACTAAATACTACTCCTCATACTGCTGCAGCAATATTAAAAGGTTATGAGTACAATTTCTACAGTTTGAACCATGAAAACTTCAAGTCAACATATATAAATGGCAAAATAATTTAATAGACCTTTCACAAATTTGCATCAGACAACTTTGCTTCAGCATAAGTGTTTATTGAAGTTAAGACTATTGTGCTTTTCAAGTAGCCTGAGAAGGTTTGTTCTGTTCACAGACTCTCATGTAAAACAGTGCCACTTTGTTCCTTTTAAATAGTGTGTGTTGAGTGCAGATACATGGCTTCTCCTGTTATATCTTATTAAGAGGATCCCACCTATGGCCCTAAATAAGCTTGTAATACTGGAACTGTTGAACCCTTGTCCAAGAACAACTGGAGGTCTGTGTTTAAACATTGTATGCGGTGTCATGGCTGATTAATGTCCCTCGGTACTATCCTTATTATTATGCCCCCAAGTTCCATGGGTTAAATAGTTAGGTTGCCAAAGAAGCAGCCTGTTGGGTATGCCACCTGGGGAAGTTACTATGGTATGACAAAAACTCTTTATTTCTTTGCGCACCCCTACTGTTTAAATCAAGGTTCTTAAACACTTCACAGTGTATTAGCAAAATGCCACATGCTTGCCATTAGAAAGATCTGTTGAAGAATTAATGGGTTTACTTTAATCTCGAGAAGAATTATTTTCAATTACTCT